GGAGAGGCTCACGTGGACGGCGCTGGAGCTGCATCTGGCCACGCCAGGAGCAGCAGTAGCAGTAGGAAGGGTAGGAGCAGCACGAGCAGTAGTAGCAGCAGTAGCAGCAGGAGCAGCAGTAGCAGCAGTAGCAGCAGCAGCAGCAGCAGTAGCAGCAGTAGCAGCAGGAGCAGGAGAAAGCGCAGTAGCCGTAGGAGCAGCACGAGCAGCAGTAGCAGGAGAAAGAGCAGTAGCAGCAGGAGCAGCAGGACAGTGCTCACCAGTGGCAAGAAGGGCCGGCGTACAACGGCGGCAACGGCGAGGCCGGCACCACTGTAGGGCGAGGGCTCCGCGGCAGCTGCAGGTGGCGGCTGCTCCAGGGGCGGCTGCTCCAGGGGCCAGGGGCGGCTGCTGCAGGGGCCAGGGGCGGCTGCTGCAGGGGCGGTTGCTCCAGGGGCGGCTGCTGCAGGGGCCAGGGGCGGTTGGTGCAGGGGCCAGGGGCGGCTGCTGCAGGGGCCAGGGGCGGCTGCTGCAGGGGCGGCTGCCCGAAGGGCCAGGGGCAGGGGCGGCTGCTGCAGGGGCAGCTGCTCCAGTGGCAAGGGGCAGCAGGTGTAGGGGCGGCTGCTCCAGGGACCAGGGGCGGCTGCTGCAGAGGCGGCTGCTCCAGGGGCCAAGGGCAGCTGCTGCAGGGGCGGCTGCTCCAGGGGCTAGGGGCGGCTGCGGCAGGGGCGGCTGCTGCAGTGGCCTGGGACAGCTGCTGCAGGTGCGGCTGCTGCAGGGGACGCTGGGGCGGCTGCTGCAGGGGCGGCTGGTCCAGCGGCGGCTGCTGCAGGGCTGCGAAAGAGCGGCGTGGGGGGGCGCCAGGGGCCGCGACAGACCAGGTAAGGGGCCGCGACGGGCGGGTAAGGGGCCGCGACGGGCGGGTAAGGAGCCGCGGGCGGCTAAGGGGCCGCGACGGGCGGCTAAGGGGCCGCGACGGGCGGCTAAGGGGCCGCGACGGGCGGCTAAGGGGCCGCGACGGGCGGCTAAGGGGCCGCGACTGGCGGGTAAGGGGCCGCGACGGGCGGGTAAGGAGCCGCGGGCGGCTAAGGGGCCGCGACGGGCGGCTAAGGGGCCGCGACGGGCGGCTAAGGGGCCGCGACGGGCGGCTAAGGGGCCGCGACGGGCGTGTAAGGGGCCGCGACGGGCGGCTAAGGGGCCGCGACGGGCTAGGGAAGGGCCGCGATGGGCGGCTAAGGGGAGGAAGTTGGGCGGGCCGAGGAAAAACGAGCCGCACGGGCGGCTGACGTGGCGCGCGGGGCCGAAAACGGGCCTAAACGAAGAGCGCGCGGGCTGCTCAAGCGGCGCGCGCGGGAGAAAAAAAAAGTGCCGCGCACGTGCAGCCGAGGCGCGCGCGGGCAGGAGGCAAGGCAGGTGAGGTAACGTGGTAACGGTGGGCCCTTATCTTAGGTCCTAGAGACCTCTAGGCTCTAGATACCATCTTAGAATCTTAGGCATGAAGTTGTGTGGAATTAGGGTTTGGAGGGGGATACAAAACAAGTGTCGAGAAAATATGTGTACCCCCTAAGGCTAGACCCAGTACTATAGCCTACATAAATGACACATATAATTTGACATTTTCTGATGCAGTTCAGCAGCAAGCTAGACATGTTCGCTGCAACCTCATTTCAATGCTGAGCTCTGAAGATTCTATTTGTCTGGTTTACTCCACTGGCCCGCTTCTTCAGCTATTGGCTTTAGCTTTTAGAGTTTTGACTTGTTGCTTCCTACCTACAGGTCACAGCAAAACCAGGTGATGGAAGAGATTTCCTGATAGCGGATCAGCAAGCATTGTTGGACCTAGATAGCTACTGCTGCAAGCTCACTGCTCTGCTTAGAACAACAATCACCAAAGACTGGTGGTATGGAATTCATTTTTTCCCATTGAAGTTGCTCTATCAAGTTGAAGCAACAAAACCAAACATTAATAGAGATAAGGAAGCCATACAAACAAGATCTAAACTCCACATACTATCTCTACATATCAACTTCAGAAACTTCTAGTACTGTAGAGAATTCTTCTTAACTGGAATTTGGATCTTGGACCTTGGTCTTCAGTCTTCGCATGGACCCCTCTTGGCCGCTAGAGGACAAGCCTCTAGCGTTCACCCTAACACCACGATGAGGTGGAGGTCCTTCGTTAGGGCGTGTAAGATCCCCGTGCACACGTTTTGGCTGAATTTTGTCGACCATTTTGGTCGACAAAGCTTTCGCGAAGGTCGACGGATGAGTCGTCACCAGGCCGACAAATTTTCGGCCACCTCAATGTGGCCTCCAAATATGACACGGATTTGCTGGCCGAAATAACAGAGGTGGAAGATTTCGGTTTGTCTTTTTTCCGACTTGGTGCGACGACGTCGCATACATGTATGCGACGTCGCAATTTCACTGTAGCAGCGTATGCGACCTCGTTTTTTACTGTGGCCAGCTGTTGTCGACAGCATGGCCGATTTGAAGTCGACCACGCGTCGGAAAAGAGTCGACTGGGTTTTTCGGCCATCAAATCACAATTTTGATGGCCGAAATCGACGAGATTCGCAAACCGATCACGAAATGGTTACTTTCGCTACGGCAACCTAATTTTGATGGCCGAGTCTGTGTGCACGGGGATCTTACACGCCCCGCAAGAAAAACACTGAAACAAAGAGGACGGACGGTTAGGATTAAAGTAAATGCCAGCGGGCAGGGAACACCTCTGAGCTTGAAGTAGCTTCTCTGTTGTCAGGTTGTCGCGGTGAGCCACAAAAAGTGGCGGGAGTGAAGAGGAGGGAACCCAACCCACCCAGTCGCGTCGCGTCCCCATCGCCTACCCACCCAGTCGCGTCGCGTCCCCATCGCCTACCCACCCAGCCCACACCACCCTCGTCTGTCCAGTCCGTGGCTGATCTAACGCTCCTACGATCTGATCTAACGCTCCTAAACGTCCCACCGGTTACCATGTGCTGCTGTTGCAGTCGTTGCTCCACCCCCTGAGCGAGGGAAGGAGGACGGGAAAGGGGAAGTCAAGCTCCTCGCTGCTCCTCGCTCCTCGTTGCTCCTTGCTTTTCATTGTTGGTCCTCGTTCGATCCTCGCGTTGCGTTGCTCCTTAGCTCCCAGCTTCCTGCACCACAGAGAACGGCTTAAAAAGACGTAAGTGATCTCGATAAGAATAGGAATAAAAAACGAACGAGCCGAATAATATAAAAGCTGAAAGAAAAACTGAAAGAAACGATGAGGAAGAAGAGAAATAAATCCGTGCGCGTCGTGCGATGGGAGAAGCGCCGTCCCACGGCACCATGCGCCACGCGAGAAGGTCCACCATTCCGCCGCGAAGATCGCGCCGTGAAGTTGTACTCCTCGCTCCACCCGCTGCATACCACGAGCGCGACTCCTTCTGGACTCCTCCTGCTGAACGCACCAAGAATAAATGAAGTAAGTAAGTGATCTCGAGAAGGATAAGAAGAAGAAACGAATAAGCGGAATAATAATAAAGCTGAAAAGAAGCCGAAAGGAACGATGACGAAGAAGAGAAATAAAACCGTGCGCCGTTCGTCGTGCGATGGGAGAAGCGTTGTCCGACGGCAGAGATTCCGCCACCATGCGCCACGCGAGAAGGACCACCATTCCGCCTCGAGGATCGCGCCGTGAAGTTGTGCTCCTCGCTCCACCCGCTTCGCACACCACCAGCGCGACTCCTCCTGGACTCCTCCTGCTGAACGAACCAAGAATGAACGAAGTAAGTGAGTGATCTCGAGAAGGATAAGAATTCGAAACGAATAAGCGGAATAATAATAAAGCTGAAAAGAAGCTGAAAGGAACGATGACGAAGAAGAGAAATAAAACCGTGCGCCGTTCGTCGTGCGATGGGAGAAGCGCCGTCCGACGGCAGAGATTCCGCCACCATGCGCCACGCGAGAAGGACCACCTTTCCGCCCCGAAGATCGCGCCGTGAAGTTGTGCTCCTCGCTCCACCCGCTTCGCACACCACCAGCGCGACTCCTCCTGTACTCCTCCTGCTGAACGCACCAAGAATAAACGAAGTAAGTTAGTGATCTCGAGAAGGTTAAGAATAAGAAACGAACAAGTTAAAAAAACAATAAAGCTGAAAAAAAAGCTGAAAGAAACGACGAAGAAGAAGATCAATAAAACCGGCCGATGGGAGAAGCGCCGTCCGACGGCAGAGATTCCGCCACCATGCGGCACGCGAGAAGTACCACCACACCATTCCGCCGCGAGCATCGCGCCGTGAAGTAGTCGCCTTCGCCCGGCCGTGGAGATTCAGCGGTAGAGATATCGCCGTGAAGATCAGTTTCAAGAGATTCGCCGTGGAACAGAAATCTTCCTCGGGCAACAAGATTAGTAAAGGCTCAACCCAGGCAGCAGGCAGCTCGCTCACTCACGACTCTCTACCCAACCCCCCATCCACGCTATCGACTCTCAACGCTGCCGCGTGCCATTGGGTTTTCGCCTGTGCTAGCCGGAAGCCTTTCGGAAAGATTAGCTTGCTCGGTGAACAAGAATGGGTTATATGGTGTGATGTGGGGGATGTGTGGGAACGATCGAGCTGGTACGAGAAGCGGTAGCGCGCTGAAACATGAGTAGAAGCGTGCTCCGGCTAATCCATGCTCGTTTTCCGACTCGACCTTTCCCTGACAGGTTTCGTTTGGTTGGGTTGGATGGCGGCCGGTGCGCGCGATGCAGAGCGCTTCAAACCAATCGTGATGGGTGTCAGGACAGGAAGTATTGAGGTGTGGCACTTGTGAAATGTTCGACTCCATTTGCTGGGTGCAGTGCGGTGCGACGCAATGCTGTGCTGTCATTTTTGGCGGCCATAGCGCGGACTTCTGTCGGAACAGAATGAACAGTTGGATGGTGGTGGAGTATCTCCTTGAACGGTGACGATTTGCCCCGAGCCATGGTATGGATGTGGCATCATGGCATGGTGATGGTGTGTGGAATCATGGGCCAACGAATTTCCCCGCCCATGACGGCAGAGAGCAGTATGCTTCAGGAGGGAAATTTGAGCGGCGGACATATTGCGGCGGTGCCGTACGCTGTACGAGCGGATCCAATACTTTTACAGGTCTACAGTGCTTTTGGGTTTGAAACACTCACACGATTGTGCTGAAGTTGTACTGAGCACCTTTGATTCATAGGCTGGTTAAGTTTTGCTGTTTGCTTTGGTTTCGTTTTGTATGCGTGCAATCGGAACTGTCGATGGCGCGTATTGCCATGGTAGAGTTCTGGCATCCATCCAGTTGCAGGTGTGGATGATGGATGGAATTCGTTTGGCAGGGACGGACCTAGGGCAGACTGGGACTTGTTAGGAGCCGTGGCATTTTCTCCCAGCGATCATTTTTCGCGTGAGGTGCGGGACGGCGTTGGTTGGGATGGTCCAGAAATTTGTGCGTGATTGGGCGAACAGCTATTCAGCTGCCCTCGCAAGCAGTTTTGCTGCTTGCGAACCTGATCCGGGCAGCAAAAAATGCAGGGGTGCTTGAAAAACGATTTGCGCGAGCCAATAGGAATGAGGGGTGTGTTTCTGCCATCGTGTCACAACCTTATCAACAATCTCAATTGTCCACCTCACATTCTTCCATCTTCTACGAAGCATTCTTTACAACCCTCATTGCCTAATTGCGCTTCTCAGCTGTGACTTACACTACCTCACGTTAGTTCCGTCATATTTGATGTCGTTCTCGTCATATCTAAGCGGTAGTCGGTAAATCCGCGACTTTAGTATCAGTGGCAACAGTCGCTCGCGACTTCAGTATCAGTGCTGCTTCACAGATTTTAATAGCGTGGTGGTAGTAGCGTGATTCCGATATTTGACTGCTTGTCATTAGTTGTTCAGATCTGACGTTTTTTTTTAAGATAACGATCTTAGTCTGCGGACGAGTTAGTAACGTCGAATCTCGATTGCATTAGCAGTGATGCTTGTCATGCGATCGGCACGAGCAGTGCCGATTTGAGCGCGCGTCGTTAGAGACGCCTCAGTGCGTCGGCCCGTTATTCTGGCGGAGGAAGCCTCAGGATGGCGCACATGTTGGAATGCCTCGGAATCGCCTTCGCACAAGATGGTTCTAGGCGGAAGAGGAACGGGAAAGGGAGGGGGGATGATATTGTGAGAAACTGACGAGAAGCGAGAGGCGACGAGAGGCGACGCTGGGGAAGCGGGCGGTGGTGCTGAAGCACTTTGTGGAGCCCCTTTCCGCGTTTTGCACCTCGTGACAGACGACTGGTGAGAGGCGACGTGGCGGACTGGCCCTTTTCCCCGTTTCCCCTCCCACATCCCCCCCGCTTCCTCTCCCCGCGCGTTCTCCCCCCCCCCCCTCCCCCCCCCCCCCCCCCCCCCCCCCCCCCCCCCCCCCTCTCTTCCGCTCTCCCCTCATCTCCCTGCGATTTCCGCCTACTCCCCGCGTTCACCCCTCTGCCCTCGCACCCATCCCTCATCCGCTTTCCGCTCACCGCCCCTTCCCCTTCCCACACCCCCCCATTTCCTTTCCCCCCCACCCCCCGCCCACCCCAACACATTCTCGCTCACCTCTCATCCCCTCCACACATCGTGCCTCCCCTCCCCCCTCACTCGCTCTTCATCCCTCCCTCCATCCACCCTGCGTTCTCCTCGTTCCCCCCGCCCTCCCCTCGTCTTTCCCCTCACTCACCCCTCATTTCTCCCCACCCATTCACCCTTATTTACCTCAACTATAATTTCCGTCTCTCCCTCCCACCCCTTCACGATCCATCTGCCGTTCCCCCTCCGCTCACCCCTCATCTCCCCCCACGCACCTACTTCTCTCTCCCTTCATCTCTCCTCTCAGCTCACGCCCCCCACTCCCCTCACCCCCCTTACCACGTGACCCTCGTTATGGCTGTCCCCTTTTCTTTCTCCCCTCTTAACAGTGTCAACCATCTATTTTATACCTTTATTAATCAACAATGTCAACTGTCAATCTTCAATCATTTAACAACTTTCCCCTTCTCTCTCTCTCTCTCCTCCTTCCCCCCACAAACACCTCCCCTGGACCCCCTCTCTTCCTGTCTGCGCTCCTCCCCGCTACTCTACTGGATTGCTTGTCACCCTCCTGTACCCTCACCTCAGCACCTGTCACCGCAAGCCACTTGAAGTCACTACCCTCAGTGCACCATATATGAGCGGACGCCTGCAGCAGAGCTCACTCCGTTGAAGCCAAGCCAAGCCAAAATAATTCAACCTTCCACCGCATGCTAAGCCTCCCTCTCAGCCTCCCAGCCCGCCAGCCCGCCAGCCCGCCCGCAAGAGGCCCTTAAACGATTGGATTATCTGTTTGACAAGCAGGTTTGTGGTTGACACGTGCTCGCCTGTGATCATTTGCAGCAGGTGCACTGCTGGCAGATCCAGCACCATATCTTACTTACCTGTAGCTCTCGTGCTTCTGGGTTGAGGTTTACGGTACCTTTTACTGTACATCGTTTGTTATAGTAATGGATACTGGCATCAACTTCAGCCTGTTGTTGTCATGCGCTTTCAGCCAAGCCATACCCTCACCATGATTGCTCTTTACCATACGATACCGTGTCTACAATCATGAGTCACTAGCCTTTTGAGAGGGCAAGGTTGTTCATTGGCAGCTATTGTGTGAGTGCCTTGTGTGAGTGCTGTGTGTGGCTGTAATAACAAGCATATCAACATGCTTGCCACTCTGGAAAGCTCTTCATTTTATCTCATATTGCACTATGGGTAAGCTTTGATTTGATGCAAATACAGGTATGGTAATACAGGTACTACTTTAGACATCCATCTACTATACGTACCAACAGGGGATAAAGCCATACACGATCCAATTCTCAACCTACCCATAAACAAGACATTTCATGCAAACGCAAACTTCAGCCCAACACCCAGGACAGTCACCCTAGCAACAGACGCCCCTGCCTTTGCCAAACCAGCAGCCGAGGCACGGAAACCACTCAAGCTCGCCCGAGGCAGAGACAGGCGCAGGGTGGGCGCAGCAAGGGATCGGGTGTGAGTGAAGGGCGTGCAGTAGGGCAGAGAGGAGGGAATGGCAAGCCTGTGCGGGACAGCCCGGGTCTTGTACCGAGTCTTGCGGGTAGATGGACCCGAGGGAGAGGCGAGAGAACCAGCTGTTCAAAGAGGAAACAAGAGGAGGAATTAGAGAAGCAGGAAAGGAGAAATAATGAGCGGAGTACTACTCAAGAACAAGCAAGAATGTGGGCTTCTGCAAGAGTTTGACCGTCCCTGATGCCAAGAAATAGCGACTTTTAAAAAGTCCACTTACTGCAGATAAGGTCGTTATTGCCGCCATCAAGAGTACACTCCTTCACATCTTGCAGCCCCACCAGGTCCGCCACGCCATTGCCACTTGTCGCCACACCATTTGAAGACGCCTTGCCCTTGGCAACCGCGCCCCTGGGCTCCCCGTCAGCAGCATCCTCCATAAAAGCAACCCCAAATTCCGCTACAACACCGTCAGCTTCCTCCAAAGCAGAGAGCATACCATCCAACGACACACAGCACACCGGCACCTGCGGCACCACATACTCTCCCACTCCCTCTCCTCCCACTCCCTCCCCCACACTCCCTCCCCACCCTCCCGCTCCTGCCGCTGCCACCTCATTATCGCTCTCACTGCTGCTCTCCTCCTCTCCCTCCTCCTCCCCACTGTCACTGCTGGTAGTCGTGCTCTCATAGCAGCAGTGCGTCCCCCGGTACTTATCTAAGAGCTTAAACGCGTTACTGTTATAAAAGTCCGTGAACTGTAGCAGCAGGCTCGGGTTCCACACGCGCACAGCGCCCAGCAGCTCCGCCAGGATATCATTGTAACGAGACGGCTTCAAACGCGGATGACTCAGCCCCCTGTAACCAGACCCAGCCGCCAGCAGCTCAGGGTTATCCGTGCCCGTATCCAGGCACACCAGCAGACACCTGCTCGGGTCAAGATTTGGCCACGCAGCTGCTGCAGAAGAGAAGAGGGTCGCCATGCTGTCATTACTAGCACCGTTACCGTTAATGTTACCGTTACTGCTGCTGCTGCTGCCGTTACCACTGCTGCTGCTGTTGCCTGTGTGGCCCAGCACGATTTCCGCGTCCACCACCAGAACCGCATCCACGTCCCTCCCCACCTCCGCGCGCTGCTCCCCCCACCGCTGCAGCCGCTGCAGCATGTGCCCGCGGTCCTTCCCCGTCAGGTACACCCCGCGCATCTCCTTCAACCCCGCACCCGCACCAGAAGCAGCAACAGAAGTATCCGCGCCAGCGGCGGCGGCGGGGAGCGCGGAGGGCTTGATGAAGGCGGCGACGCCGTTCTCCTTGAGGCGGCGGTCCAGCAGGTAGAGCTGGAAGTCGCGACACATGTCCGCCAGCTCCGCCATGTCGCCCGCGCTCACCTGGGGGGGGCGCGCGTTGGGGGGGAGAACATGAGTAAAGGGGGAGTTAGCTGCAGGTACAGCTGCAAGTGGCGGCGGTCCAGCAGGTAGAGCTGGAAGTCCCGACACATGTCCGCTAGCTCCGCCATGTCGCCCGCGCTCACCTGCACTCCCGGAAGGAGGAGAGGGGGGGGAAAGGGGGGCGGGGTGAGGATTGTGAGGGAGAAATTTCATAAGATCATCTTAGATCTACGAGGCACATCAGAAGTATGTATAAATATATGGTTAAACGAACACCCTGTCAGTTCCGCCATGTCCCCTGCGCTCACCTCAACTTCGGGTCCCCCCGGCATGTGCAGATGCTGATGCACCACGTCTTGCAGCTGACTCTGCTCCGCCTGCGCCGCACCCGCGCCCGCGCCTGCGCCCGCGCCCGCGCCAGCCCAGCCCTGGAGCTCCTCCGAGTCGCTGGGGACAGCGGGGAGCGCGAGCGGGCCGTGCGGGTGCGGGTGGTACATGCTCGCGCGCGCGTGGCGCTCCCACTCCGCCACCGTCCCCGCGCCCACCGCGGGCGGGGGGGTGCCCAGCCCCGCCGCCACCATGAACTCCGATATACGCGCTATAAGCAGCGGCACGAGCGCCTGAAGGAGGCAGTGATCGGGGGGGGGAGCAATCGAGGGAGAAAGGGGCGCGGAAAGAAGGGGAAAGCGGGGTGAGGATCGTGAGTGGGGACTTGTTGCATTTGAGTTACAGTGCTGTCTCAGATGTTTAGAGTGTTTGCCCTTGTAAGTCATAAGCTCTTATCATTCGTAACCGGTAAGCTTGTCCGCGCTAGTGTCCCAAAACGCGTTGATATTCGACCATCAAAGCAGCAGAGGGCAAGGGGGAATAAGGGAATGCGCGCGCACTTACCTTCATGGCGGAGAGCGAGGGGAAGAGCATTCCGCGGTCCAGGTGCGCCTGCGGCGTGAGTTGCGCCAGGAACTCCGCGGTCGACAGGAACACGTCGTCCGTGATGCTGCTGCACCTCGTTAAGAGCGCCGCCATGCCGATCGGCCCGAACACGTACGCGTTATTAGCCTGCGCGGGGTACATCGTCACCTTCCCGCCGCCCGGCTCCGCGGATTCCGCCACCAGCGGGGGGAACGGGCTTCCGCTCGCGAACACGACGCGCCCGCCCGTGTATTTGAACGCCTCTTTATAAGAACACTCGGCCTTGGACGTGGGGTTGGAGAGCGGGAAGATCACGGGCCGCTCGTTATAAACGCCCATCGCTTCAATCACCTCCTTGGAAAACGCGTTCGCCTGCGCCGACACGCCGATCAGGACCGTCGGTCGGAATTCATGGACGGCCGAGATCAAATCCGGCTGGTACGGCAGATCGTGCGCGAACGGAATCTTGTGATCCTGCAGCTCCCCCTTTAACTTGCGCTCCTTGCACACGAGGCCCTTAGAGTCCATAAATAGGCACCGCTGCCGCGCGGCGTCGAGATCCATCCCGCACCGTCGATTCATCGCCTGCGCGATCAGCTGCGCGATCCCCGTCCCAGCCTCGCCCGCGCCGAGGAACAGAATGCGCTGCTCCTCCAGCGGCCGCCCGGTGACGCGGAGCGCGGAGAGCAGACCCGCGAGCGTGATACACGCCGTGCCCTGGATATCGTCGTTGAAGCAGCACTGCGTGTGCTGGTAGCGCTCCAGCAGCCGAAACGCGTTGCAGTTGCCGAAATCCTCGAATTGCAGCAGCACGTGCGGCTTTAACGTGCGCGCCGCGGTCATCAGCTCGTCCACGAGTTCGTCGTACTCCGGACCGCGCAGCCGCCGCTGCCGCAGGCCCTTGTACGCCGGATCCGCTAGCAGCTTCTCGTTGTTAGTTCCCACGTCCAGCATCACGGGCAGGGCGCGACGCGGATCTAACCCCGCCATTGCGGTGTAAAGCAGGATCTTCCCCTCGCTGATCCCCATCCCCCCCGCGCCCTGGTCCCCGAGACCCAAGATCCTCTCTCCGTCCGTCACCACAATCGCGCGAATGCCGCTGTGCGGGCACGCGGCGCGGAGGCGCTCCAGAAAGTGGCCCTTATCCGCCGCGGTGAGGTAGATCCCGTTAGGAACGATCCCGAGTTCGTGGTAGCGTTGGCAGGCCTCGCCGACCGTTGGGGTGTAGATGTACGGAAGAACCTCCTCAGTATGGTCCATTAGTAGGCGGAAAAATAACTCCTCGTCAGCCTCGCGCGTCGCGCGGAGGTACATGTAACGGTCGATGTCCTTCGGAAGCGCGTCGAGTGCGGAGAGCACGGCTTGCTCCATGGTCTCGCATTCCGCCTCCTCCTCCGGGGATTCCGCCAGCTGATCCGCGTTGACCAGCGCGACTTTTGTCGGTAGCGGCGCGGAGAGCTGGCAGAGCGAGCCGACGTACGTCGCGGCTTGGGTTGCGGATGCCGCGGCGCGGCCGTTGCCGTTCTTCGCGCTGCCATTTGTGGGGATTGCTTCTTCTGTCGAAGCTGCCGAGGGCTTCACAGCCGGATCGGCAGCTGGGGATCCGTCAGCCGGCGCCATTGCTTAGAATATAAAGGCGACGGGTTGAGTGTTCTCAAAGTTGAATTGGATAACGAACGAGTCGGTAGAAACAACCTACGGCCTTGTCTCCGAGAATGCAATAGTTTTCTTTCAGAATCCTTCAATCACTCGTCTGAAGGTGGTTGCAGAACAAATGTGATCAATCACAACGCCCGTCAACGGAACGTTGAAGCCTTCTGTTTATGCTTGGTTTGACACAGGGACGCTTCGAGAACAGGGCAAGCTGGATGATCGGAATTCGGAAGTCTGAATGAACTCGGGGAAGCCATGGCGTGAATGGGATGAGCTAACCGAACCAGCTGGAGAGGTAAGGGTGTGGCCCAAACCGATTCGGCAACGACAGTTAGATAAGCCTGGCATCCCGCTGTTCCCACAAACCAGCGTAGCAACCAATCGAAGCACTGATTCGGATGAGCTGGCGAAACTTAGGCTGGAAGTCACTGATGCCGAACCGAACCGACGAGCCGCGTATGCTCTGCGCTTCCCTCCCTCCCTCTATGTGGTGACGCTCTGTCGCAAGCAGTATCGCGAGCGCGACGCGAAGCACCCGGGTTGAATGCGGTTGGGTAAAACGTGCGAAGACATTCGCGAAGTACGATTACGGTTTCACCGAATTCAGCGAGCCCGTGTCGTGACTGCTGTGGGGGAATTTTTTGCGTGCGATGTGGTTGGTAGTCGCAGAGAGGTTGGTGGGGAAAATAACTGGGCGAAATTCCCCCAATCACAATTGTCGACTGCGGAACGGCCTTCTCACGAGCTACGGATTCGTCGAGGGGAACTGCCCAGCGGCGAATGCGGCCCACACGGCCATCAAAGGTAGTGCCAACTCAGCAAAGCAACAACAATATCGGCGATAAGTAGGCCCGATTCGCTGGGTTCCGCAAAGTTTCCAGGAGTTGTGGCGGCACATGACCTTTAGCCACTTACGATCTTTACTCTTTCCGCGTCATCCAAGCTTCTTGCTGAGCCGGGGGCGCTGATTGGATACGAGGGATAATGCGTTGACGCCACTCGCCGACAGTGTTGCTGGCGAACCGCATCCTCGGGCAGCAGTAGGGTGCAGTGCCGCGCTGTGAGTTTCGGTCTGACAATATGTTTCGGACACGCAAAGGTTAGATTTGGTACACGACAAAGAGATAGCATCCTCACTGACCAATGAATTTGGACAAATATACCTTAGGTACCTAATTTAAGAGCGTGTTCCTACACCTCGTATCAGCTTCGTGTGGTGAATTAAGTTTCAGTGTGTTCGATTGCGGCTGGATGCATTTTAGTGCGGTTCACCGCGAATCTGATACGAGGTTGCCTGATATGAGGCCGTAGGAACACACTCTAAGAACCAGCCTCTCTAACACCTACTGAACAAGGGTGCAATTTATGCTTTGCTAGCCGTAGTGAAGTACATGTGGCCATCACATAAACTCACTAAAGACACTATTCGTCTTGGGCTGAATCCTCAGAGTCCCAGTCTTCGTCCTCAAAATCTACGTCATCATCGTCTTCATCTGAATCATCCTCATCGTCATCATCATCCTCATCACTAAAACTATCCGGATCCTCATCTGATGGTCCCTCCATGAGCAAATCCATTAGCCCCTGTGCGGCCTCCTCGTCATCCTCCGAATCACTCCCCAGATACTCCCCCTCCTCCACCTCCCCATTCATCAACCCCCCACGCCCGCCACCCCTCACAGCCCTCACCCTCGGCTGCCCAAACCCATCCTCATCCTCCTCCTCATCCAAATCCTCAGAAAACCCTCCAAAAAGCTCCTCCTCTATACTATCCAGCTCCTCCTGATCCTCCTCATCCTCCTCCTCCCCTTCATCCCCCTCATCCTCCATCTCCCCCTCATCCTCCCCGTCGTATTCCCCCAACTCCTCCACTACCCGCTGCCGCCCAACCTCGAACAGTCTCGCAACAGAATCCGACTCTCCATGCTCATCTACAACCACCGCTGCGACATACCCGTTGGTGGGTTCAACGGCGAGATCGAGCACGCAGCGCTCGACATTAACGGTTGCGATGTCAGTGTAAGAGGTCGCGTCGATGGTCTTGAACGCCGAGAAGAGAGGGTGCTTGCGGCGCCGCCCGTGCAGGGCAGCTAGTAGGTCATCGGTGGTGCGCCGGAGAGTCGCGTAAATGACTTCCCCCGTGGCGTTGAATGTTATGGACGTCTGGTCCAGGGACGGGACGCTGCGCAGAAGCTTCCGCGTTCGGAGATCCCACACCTCTGAATTGATGATCACCTGGTGTGTGGAGGGAAGGGCGGGAGTAAAACAGAGGGAAAGGGTGGAGGAGAGGGAAGGGAGGACGCCCCTGCTTGCTGCTCAATTCAAGGTGAGGCATATGAAACAGGCCCGATATTTACACGTAGTTGCCAATACCCCCAATTGTCCACTCACCTCATTTCCATTCGGATGGAAGCCCCCTCCCCCATAGTCCGAGAACTGGTCAAAGCGGTGAAACAGGCTCACAGATCCGTGGGTCCCACAAGAACCCATCCCGCAGCAACAGGTGCTGCTGGCTGACTGCTAACAAAAACCTCTCCAGTGCACTCACCTCATTGCCATTCGGGTGGAAGCCCCCTCCCCCATAGTCTGAGAACTGGTCGAAGTGGCGACTGGTTCGCTGATGCGCGGGTCCCACAAGAACCCATTCCACAGCAGCAGGCGCAGCTGCTGAGCATACACGAACCTTACCAATCGACTCACCTCATTGCCATTGGGGTGGAAGCCTCCTCCCCCGTAATCTGAGAACTGGTCAAAGCGATGCACGGGCTCACTGATCCGCGGGTCCCACAGGAACCCCTTCCACAGCAGCAGATCGTCCAACGGCGAGAAATGCACTGCCTGGGACCCCAACGTGCGACTCAGCCCTGCCCCGCCTCCTCCTCCTCCTCCACCCATCATTGCAGCGCCAGCACCACCAACGCCAGCAGCGGTTGCAGCAGCACCAGCGACACCAGCGGCACCAGCTAGGCCGATTCCGAATCCTCCGAACCCACCGTAACCGCCGTAACCACCAAACAGACCGCCGAAGCCACCATTCCCACCGCGCCCGCCTCCCAGACCCCCACCAGCAGCCCCACCACCCACACTGCCCCAACCAACCACACCAGCAGCGTTAGCAGCGCCACCAGCACCACCAGCAGCGGTACCAACGTATGAGTCAGCAGCAGCAGCAGCGATAGGCGCTTCTCTGAGCGTCTCTTGCAGCCTGCCTGTTGCCACGTCATACAGCAGCACCTCTCTCGACTCCCTCGACTGCCCGTCGCACCGCACTGCACCGATGGTGCGAGCCGAGTGGCTGAAGCGGCCGAGGCGGCAGGAGGGGAAGGTGTGGAGGGGACCAAGAGAGAGGTCTGCTGCATCCCAAAGCTTCACTTCTGTACGGGTGGAGGAGAGTAGCAGACAGGACGCTGCACTGTACGCTGCTGATGACCCTGCTCCTGCTCCTGCTGCTGATGCCCCCTCTTGCACCTCCTCCTCCTCCTGCCGTTGCCTCCCTCGCCATCGTCTCACAATCCCCCCATCGTCATCGTCATATCCCGGTCTCGGGGCCGAAAACACCGAAGCTATCGACGACTGGTGGCAAGCGTAGCTATCAACCACCACACCCCCCTCCGCGTCAAACAGTTTAATCTCCCCCACAGTCGTCCCCACTGCTAAGCGTCGCCTTCCCCCCCCGAATCCCCCCCCGCCGAACCCCCACACGCCGCCGCCCCCACCCTCCCCTCCCGCCCCCAGCAAAAAGCACGCACTAGTGATCATCACCGCATCTTCCCGGCAGGTTCGCCAGGGACGGAATCGGCTGAACACTAGCTGCCGATCCAGCCGCCGCCCCTGCCACCCGCCTGCGGGTGGGCAGCGTTGCCGAGCGGCAAGCCGGCGGGTGATGCTGTAGGGGGCGTCGAGGGACCGGAGAGGCTCGGGGCAGGTGTGGGGGTGGAGGAGGGAGAGGGGCGGGAGGGTGGTGATGGGCGCGGGGCACTGCCTGTGCTGCTGCTTCAGGTAAGACGTGACGATTCCATCCAGGGTAGTGCTGAGCTCGCTGGGGGGAGGTAGAACTGGGGCAGGTGCTGCTGGTAGTGCTGGGGTAGGTGCTACTGCTGCGGGTGCAGGTGGGGGTGGGACCATAGGTGCTGCTACTGGCGCTGCCTGAGCTGCTGGCACCTGGCCCAAGCTGTCCTCTGCAGCACCTGAAGTTCCACCTGAGGCCCCACCTGAGGTTCCACCTGAAACTCCACCTGAACATGGAACAGGCTCCTCTGATGCAGCAGGCCCTGCAGGTGCCTTACCGGATGTATCAACAGATTCAGCAGCGGCAGGAGCAGATCCACCATCAGAACCATCCCCACCAGCACCAACACCAGCGTCAGCTGCAACAGCATCTGCCGTTGCCCCTGCCCCTGTAACCACCTCTGCCCCTGCGACCACCGCTGCTCCTGCACCCACTGCTCCTGCACCCACTGCTCCTGCACCCTGCAGCGGCAGGGCAGGAGGACTAGGAGAGGGGAGAGGAGGGAGAAGCGTGGAGGCTCGTTTGGCAGGAGGAGAGACAAGAAGCGCTGCTGCAGACGCAGAAGCAGAAGCTTCCTTGTACCCTCGCTTCCTCCCGGATAAACGCCGTGCCATCAGCTCCCTCCCAGGCGTGCTTTCCCTCTCCCCACTACTGCTGCTGCCTCCACCACTCAATCCCCCGCCAGTCAATTCCCTTGTCCCTTTTCCGCTAAGCTTCACCCCCTCTTTGTTCAATGCTGCATCCTCTGTCCCTCTCTGCTCCTCATGCTCGGTCTCTCCCCCCTTGCCCTCCCCTTTCCCTCTAGCCCTCTCGACAAGGGAACTACCTAGTAAGATCCGCCTCCTTAACTGCCCCTCCTCCTCCCCTCCGCCTCCACTCCCACTCGCCCCACTTGCATCCATTCCCACTGCTCTCGGCCGAATTGCACTCCTCTCTCCTCTCCCATCACTCTTCCTTCCAACAGAGAAGAACCATCCAGCCTTACCCTTAGGCCAGCTCAGCCCCCCGGCTGCCTCAGCAGCCAATCCCGAACTGCCAGCTGGCGCCGATGCTGACGTCGCAGCCGGTGCAGCAGAGGCAGGTGGAGGAGGGGGAGGCAGAGCATGGGGGAGGTGGCGGTTAGGGGAGGTCTCAGTGGGAGCCAGAGAGGAGGAGGGGAGGGCAGCGGGAGAGGAGGAGGGGAGGGCAGCGGGAGAGGAGGAGGGGAGGGCAGCGGGAGAGGAGGAGGGAACCGGGGTGGCGACGAGGGGCGTGATGTTTGATTCTGCTAGCAGCTGGCTGGCTGACTGGTGTAGGCCTTCTGACACCAGATGGGCGTGTATCAGTTGAAGGAGCTCACTGTAAAGGGGATGGGGAGGAATGAGAAGAGATTGACATTAGAGATCGAAGACTGAGCTTGTATCAGTTGAAAGAGCTAGCAGCGTAGGGGATGAGAGGGACCAGCATTGACCAGCGTTGACCAGAAAGGCCATAGGCTGCCACAGCAGCTGATCGTATCAAATCGTATCAAATCAAATCTCACCTGGGAGGATAGCTGATGGGGGTGGCAGCAGCAATAGCAGCACGCTCCAGCCGCTTTAGTGTGGGCGCTGTTGCTTCCGTAGCTGCTGCTGTTGTCACCTTAACAAACGCCTCAAAACCTGACTGTACCGAATCTCACCTGGGGGGATAGCTGATGGGGGTGGCAGCAGCAATGGCAGCTCGCTCCAGCCTCTTGAGTGTTGGCGCTGTGGCTTCCGTGGCTGCTGCTGTCGTCGCCTTGCCTGCACTCGTGGTGAGCTGAGGGGAGAAGCACAGAAGAGAAGATGAGGAAATAAAGTGAGGTGGGGGCACAGAGCACGAAAAGAGAAAACGCACCAGTTCCTGTTTGAAGCTCCTAAGAACGTTCTACCAGTCTTCTAAGACTGATACCAGTCTCCAGAGCACACTGTCGGGAGATTGAACGCCATGAGTCGATGCAACGGGTGGTGAACTTACCGAGATAAGTTCAAGAGCCGACTGTTGAAACTCATGCAACCACCGAGCATGCAGAGCCTGCAACCCCATGCCACTCGATCCCCTGTGATGATGATGGTGATGCTGCTGACGGTTCTGCTGCTGCTGGTTCGGCTGCTGCTGCTGGTGATGATGGTGGTGGTGGTGGTGATGCTGATGATGCTGCACGGAGGACGAAGGAAACCCCGCCGACACGTCCCGCAGAAGATCCGAAAGCTGCCGCCCAAGCTGCAGCTTCGTCAGAATATGCGTCAGCGCAGGATCCCTAGCCAATCCCAGCAGCACCCGGCAGGCAAGAGCTCTAATACATTCAGCCGAAGGGGGAGGGAGGGGGGGTTTGCAATGCAGCAGCTGCAGGAGCACTCTAATGCCATTGCTGGCTCTCAGGGCGTCTCTAGCTTGCTTGTATCCTTGCTCCATGTAAGCTGCTAGCCCTGTTGCGCCCAGACCTAGTCCGAGGGGTTGCATCCTGCGGTCCTGAGGGGTTAAGGGCGGTGCTGTGGCGGCTGCAGGTGCTGCTGGTGTTGCGGGTGTTGCTGCTGCTGCTGCTGCTGCTGGTGGTGGTTGTGCTGCTGCTGGGGTTGCACGCACAGGAGTAGAAAAAGTGTCCTGCTGCTGCTGCTGCACCTGCTGTAGCTGGTGCTGCTGTGGTCCTGCCTCACTGCCTTCAGTGATGTGTGTCAGTGCACGGCTTGAACTCGGGGTAGCAATCGCAGCACCACCCGCACCAGCACCACCACTCGCACCAGCACCAACACTCGCACCACCAGCAGCAGCACCGCCAGCAGCATTTGCACCAGCACCAGCAGCATGAGCCGCACCCCGGCTATTCACCACGGAGCAATAAGTCGGGAACGGGCAGACGAGATTCACGATGACCAGCAGGGCGATCTGCATGACTTCGGGATCTGCCAGCAGAGCACCGCTGGCAGCGTCGAGCAGCACGGCCATGCCACAGCGGTGGGAGGCCACGCGCGCGGAGAGCACATGGCGGTGCGTGAAGGGAGCGAGGGTGAGCACGTAGAGTACCCCTAGTGCATGGTCTGCTAGCTCCCCCGTGCTGCGCTCTCCCGGAGGAATCTGTAGGAAAAATGTGGAGGATTGGGGAAAGAGAGGGGAGCACACGTAGCGGTGAGGGTGAGCACGTGCAGCACGCCTAGTGCATGGTCTGCTAGCTCCCCCGTGCTGCGCTCTCCCGGAGGAATCTGTAGGAAAAATGTGGAGGATTGGGGAAAGAGAGGGGAGCACACGTAGCGGTGAGGGTGAGCACGTGCAGCACGCCTAGTGCATGGTCTGCTAGCTCCCCCGTGCTGCGCTCTCCCGGAGGAATCTGTAGGAAAAATGTGGAGGATTGGGGAAAGAGAGGGGAGCACACGTAGCGGTGAGGGTGAGCACGTGCAGCACGCCTAGTGCATGGTCTGCTAGCTCCCCCGTGCTGCGCTCTCCCGGAGGAATCTGTAGGAAAAATGTGGAGGATTGGGGAAAGAGAGGGGAGCACACGTAGCGGTGAGGGTGAGCACGTGCAGCACGCCTAGTGCATGGTCTGCTAGCTCCCCCGTGCTGCGCTCTCCCGGAGGAATCTGTAGGAAAAATGTGGAGGATTGGGGAAAGAGAGGGGAGCACACGTAGCGGTGAGGGTGAGCACGTGCAGCACGCCTAGTGCATGGTCTGCTAGCTCCCCCGTGCTGCGCTCTCCCGGAGGAATCTGTAGGAAAAATGTGTAGGATTGGGGAAAGAGAGGGGAGCACACGTAGCGGTGAGGGTGAGCACGTGCAGCACGCCTAGTGCATGGTCTGCTAGCTCCCCCGTGCTACGCTCTCCTGGGGGAATCTGTAGGAAAAACGGGAGTCTGGGAGGGTGAGGAAAGCTCTAGCTGTGGTGCAGAAACGGCCACCACGAGCCTGCGTGTAGTATTGTGAGTGATTTCTCAACAGTGCGAACAACCCCTTGAACCTCAGACAGAGCCAGGAACCCACCTGGCAGAGCTCCAGCAGCACGTTTACTGCCCCCTCCTCCACGAGCCTTTCAGCAGTGCCCCACCGCGAGCGCACAAACACTCAGCTCCTATACCTGCCCCAGAGCCACTAGGTAAACGCCATACCCTCCACCCCAGACGTGCGCACCAACCCACCTGGCAGAGCTCTAGCAGAACCTCCACTGCGCCCTCCTTCACGAGTCTCTCGGCCGCGCCCCACCGCGAGCGCACAAACCCATGACTCCCTAGACACACACAAAGCCCTGCACCCTGGTCCGACGCACCTGGTGCTAGCACCCACCTGGCAGAGCTCCAGCAGCACATCAACTGCGCCTTCCTCCACGAGCCTCTCAGCAGCGCCCCACCGCGAGCGCACAAACGCGTGTGCCAGGCGCCGGTCCGACACCATCAGCGCCTCCATCAACCCCTCCACTGCCTGTGCGCTTGAATCCTACACCTACCCACGTGGCTTTTGAGGCATTTCAAACCCAAACCCCAAGCCTGTCCCGGCCCTAACAGGAACTTACCTGGCAGAGCTCCAGTAGCACATCGACAGCTCCCTCCTCCACGAGTCTCTCAGCAGCGCCCCACCGCGAGCGCACAAACGCGTGTGCCAGGCGCCGGTCCGATACCATCAGCGCCTCCATCAACCCCTCCACTGCCTGTGCACTCGAATCCACTGCTCTGGTGAGACTCCGCGTGTGATGCGACGGCTTGTGAGGGGAGTCTGAGGCGGCAGGAGGTGCAAGGAAAGCAGCAGCAGAAGCGGCAGCAGCACCAGCAGCAGCAGCAGCACCAGCACCAGCAGCAGCACCAGCAGCCGCAGCAGCACCAGCACCAGCAGCCGCAGCAGCACCAGCACCAGCAGCCGCAGCAGCAGAGGCAGGAGTCAGAGGGGGAGGGAGCGAAGCCGCAGCAGTAGCAGCTGGACGGTGGCTGCGGTGGCGGGAGGACGGCGCGAAGGAAGGGGCACCGGAGGGGCCACCAGAAGAGGCACCAGCAGTTACACCAGAGGAGGAGGCACCGGAAGAGGGGCCAGGAGCGTGGTGCAGGGACTCTAGATGCAGCACGAGGTGCACGCGCATGTACTGGCGGAGGGCAATGCACGTGTTGTGAGCCACCTGCCTCCCTGCTGGCGTCAACACCTCCCATGTCATCGTGCCACTGCCAGTGCCAGTGCCAGTGCTGCCGGTGCCGGTCCCGCCTGTGCCGGTGCCGCCGCCACTGCTGCCAGGCCCTGATATGGCTGCTGCAGCTGCTCCTGCTCCGCCTGTTCCTCCTGCTGCCCCACCAACAAAATCTGAACCTGGTTCCGTCCCTCCCGCAGCAGCAGTCCCACCAGCAAAGTGCAGAGGAAGGGGCAAACCCAAGCCCCCTCCAACACTACCATCCACTTCCGACCCTCCTACCCCTCCGCCTGCTCCCCCTCCTCCCCCTCCCCTAACCCCTCTGCCCAATCCAATCTCCCCTGCTCCAACCCCTCCCTCCACCAACGGCCCCCCTCCCGCTCCCGCTCCTCCCCCTCTTCCCGTCCCCACTCCCCCTACCCCCGCGCCCGCCCCCAGCGCCCCTCCCCCACCGCCCCCGGACCTCAACTGAGCAGCGTTTCTGAGCAGAGCAATGAGGGCGGGGAGGCCCCTCTGGGCGTCAAATTCGTGGAGGAGGCGCGGGAAGGCGAGGGAGGCGGCAAAGAAGAGCGCCGTGTTGCGCCGCGCGTGGTCCAGCGGGCAGAGGAGAAGGTGGAGAGCGGTGGAGATGAGCGAGCGAATGACTGGCTGTGGGAGAGAGGCTACTCGCTCCATGACACTCTGAAACGGGGGCAAAGGGAGGGAGGGGAGAGGGAACAAGGGGGAGAAGGGGAAGTGCAGCAGGTGGAGGGCCGCTGAGATGAGCGAGCGAATGACTGGCTGCGGGAGAGAGGCTACTCGCTCCATGACACTCTGAAACGGGGGCAAAGGGAGGGAGGGGAGAGGGAACAAGGGGGAGAAGGGGAAGTGCAGCAGGTGGAGGGCCGCTGAGATGAGCGAGCGAATGACTGGCTGTGGGAGAAAGGCTACTCGCTCCATTACACCCTGGACGGGGGAGCGGGGGAGGGGGGTGTGGAGGGGAGGGTTTAACGGAGGGAGGGTGGACAATCTAATACACTCTAGTAGAAGTGACGGCGGGGAATGGCAAGCAGTTACCTGAATTGAGAAGGGACCAAAGAACGCGACAGCCAGGCTGGGGAGGGTGTGGGGAACGCCGGGGATCGATGGGGAAAAGAGGGGTGAAGGGAGGATTGATGAAGGAGTAGGAACGGGAGTGCAGGGCGGTTACCTGAATGGAGGCAAAGGCGAAGAATGCAACAGCCAGGCCTGGGAGCGTGTGCGGCACGCGGGGGAGGGAGAGCAGCAGCTGCACGCCCCCTCGGTCCACAAAGAGTGTGGCAAACTTGCGGTGTGCTGTGAGCGCACACACCAGCTTCAGCACATCCGCCAGCAGCAGCACACTCATCGGCCCACTGGCTGCTGTTCCTGCTGCTGCGGCTCCTGATGTAGAGTCTCCTGCGCCAGGAGCAGCAGCAGCAGCAGCAGCAGCAGCAGCAGCAGCAGCAGCAGCAGCAGCAGCAGCAGCAGCAGCAGCAGCAGCAGCAGCAGCAGCAGCACCTGCAGGACCAGGTGTGGCGCGTCTGAGCAGAGCAAGGCAGACATCTACGCCTTTCTCATGCAGCACGGGACCCAGCACCTCCATGTACTCGCCCAGCGCTGCCAGTGTCTGCACCGCATACCACTCCCTCAGCTGCGCCAGCTGCGGCCGAGTCAGCTGCCATGCAGGGCGTGCGGGAGCGGAATGAACAGCCGGAACAGAGGATGGAAGAGAGGAAGGAGCGGTGGAGGGAGCGGTGGGGGCGGTGGGGGCGGTGAGGGTGGTGAAGTGGGCGTGGGATAGGGATGGTGGGGAGGTGGGGTCCTGTGAAGGTGCTGGGGTGGTGGGTTGTGGGGTCTGCTCTGCTGAGTTGGCTGCTCTACCTGATTCTTCCCCTGATGCTGCATCTGCTGCTGCAGCTGTAGCTTGTTGGACAGAGGATCCTGCACCTGGAATATCTGGAGCCATGCCCTTGCTCCCACTCCCTGCCCCGCTCACTGCCTGCGCCGCCTGTCTCACAGCATCAGCAGCGCTCCTAGCAGCAGCAGCAACAGCCTCGTCTCCTCCGCCCCCCTCCAACGCATCAGTAGCAGCCTGCTTCACTGACTCTGCTGCTGCCTCCACTGCAGCTGCCACCACGTCAGCAGGAGCATTAGCCGCTTCCGCTTCCCTTCTCGCCGCCTCCAATGCCACTGCAACCGCTGCAGTTATATCCACAGCTCCCACCTTTACATCTCTTGGAGGTGGGAGTGAACTTTCAAGGGCAGAACCTTTAACCCCTGAACCCCCGGGAACCCCTGAACCTCCAGAACCCCCAGCCCCTGAACCCCCAAACCCCGACCCCTCAATCTCGGACCCGCCGATTCCAGTGGCAGAAGCATGCTTGCCCTTCCCTGCGCCCTGCTCTGCTTTGCTCCCTTTCAGCCCGGCTCTCCTCCCCCCTCCTCCCCCTCGACTCCTGCTTCCCACCTCCTCTCTGCCACCTTCCGCTGCCATCCCTCCCCCTCCCAAATCTTTCAGCTTCCCCAACGGGGAAAGGGGGTTGGGCGTAACTTTTGCAGCAGCAGTCAAAACAACATCCCCCTGGGCTACAGCGTTTCCGCCTCCCACCCCCTCGCCTACCGCCTCTGTCTTTCCCTTCTCCTCTGCTGCTCTCGCCTCCGCGACCCCTAATGCTGCTGCTCTCGCCTCTCCTGCTAATCCAGCGATTTGAGCCGCAGCCGCGGCAGCAGCAGCGGTGGTAGCGGCTGCGCTACTCTCCCCCCTGCTGTTCACACTACGCAGCTTGCTCCCTCTGCCTCCCGGAGTTCCCACAACCCCCGTCCCCGCCCCTACTCCTCCAACAACTCCTCCTGTCCCTGCTCCTGCTGTCCCCCCTGCGCCTGCTCCCCCTGCAGCTCCCCCCTCGCCCCGCGCCCCCCCTGCAGCGGGCGCAGCAGCGCGCCCCAGCACTCGCTTGCGCAGCAGGCGGGCGAGGTGCTGCACGAGGCCTGCGCGCACCACCTGTTCCACTGCAGCCTCGTTGCTGTGATGGGAGTGGGGGGCGGGGTTTGGGGGTTGGGAGTTGAGGGAGAGTATGGATGCAAAGACTAGAGTATGCGGGGTTGGAAGGGGCGAGGTGCTGCACGAGGCCTGTGCGCACCACCTGCTCCACCGCCGCCTCGTTGCTAATGGGAGTTGGGGGGGGGAGGATGGGGGGAGAAATTTTGGGATTTAAGGAAAGTGTAGACGTAAAAACCCAGAGAATTAGAGGATGACAAATGACGAGACTTCTCAAATGATAAGCAAACGTGGTACTTACGAGCTGAGTGCAACAGCAACGAGTCCGGTAGAAAACGTCCTCAGCATGTCCGTCGCCAGAACAGCTGATGCTCTCGCCCTTGCACCCACACCACCAATACCAGCACCACCCACGCCAGCACCCGCACCCGCTGCAGCAGCAGCACCAGCGGTGGCAGCGCTACCAGACCCAGCTCCTCCCGCTCCGCCACGATCCCCCCCCTGACCCTCCTCCCCTGCATCCTCCTCCTCCTCTTCCTCCTCCTCCTCCTCCTGTGTACCGCCGGCGCCACCAGAAGCGCCAGCAGAAGCGGCAGCGGCGGCGGTTGTGGCGGTGGTAAGAGCAGGGGGTGGGGCGGCGCGAGTGGAGAGGGCGGCCCACGCAATTACTCGCTCGAGAATACCCTCCTCGAACACCCCACGGTACTGTGTGGTGTGTGAAAAGAGAAGCAAGTAGGGAAAAGAAAACGTAATGTAGACAATGGCAAGGCCAATATAACTCACGTGGTGAAGGATGAGAGGTGACCACGTGGAGAGACACGTGTAAGAAGTCGTGGAAAAAAAGACGTTTGGAGCACACGAGGGAACACATGCGGCATGGGAAGTTTCGCAGAAGGAGCGTTGGGGGGAGGCAGAAGAGGGGGGAGAAGGTGAGGAGAGGGGGGTGGGATAGAGTGGAGGGGAATTAGAGGCAGGGGGGAACATGCGGGATGACACTAACAGACTGGCGGGATTACCCCCCTCCCCCTCCCGCCACCCCTCCCCCCCCCCCCCCCCAGCCCCCACTTCCCCCCTCTCCCCTCCCCCCCCAGCCCCCACTTCCCCCCTCTCCCCTCCCCCCCCAGCCCCCACTTCCCCCCTCTCCCCTCCCCCCCAGCCCCCACTTCCCCCCTCTCCCCTCCCCCCCCCCCCCCCCCCCTCCCCCGCCTTCCCCCTCCTTGAGACTAACCACGAAGCTCATCGCGCAGGCAAGCAGCAAGCGAGCTCCCGCTGCCCGCTCCTCCTGCGACCGCCACGACTGGAGCAGCAGCTTCGACGTCAGCAGCTCGTATAGGTCGTCGTCCTCCTGGCGGAAACAGCAGCGGAAAATCAAAGGGGGGGGGGAGGGGGAAAGAGAGGGGGGGGGGGGGGGAGGAATTGGGGCGATGTGGGGGGACTGTGGGTTGATTGTTAGAGGGGGGAATTGAGCGGACATAGAGACCAGCGGCTGATACAGATCGTCGTCCTCCTGGCGGAAACAAGAAGGGGATGGGAAGACTAAGGAGTTTGTTACAAACATTCGACATATAAACTACTAGGAACAGCTGGTGTAACGAGGGAACGGGAAACAAGAGGAATTAATTTGATAAAAAGGAGCGACGCGTGGACGATCGACGTACGCGCAGTGAGTTGACAATACGTCCGATAGTGTACGACGCTCGGAGGTTAGACGAGGAGAAACCCGCTTGTTGCTGGTACCTGGGGAATACAACAAGTGCCACGCGAATCAATACAAGTTTGTGACAGTTGGAGCAAGGAACCGAAAAAGAGAAGCATATTCTTGCCGGATTCAGAAAACAAAACACGACAAGAGTTTTGGAAAATGGAAGTCTGCAGTCATGATTGTTATGCGATAAGGGAAATGAAGGACCGAAGAGTAACCAGACAATTAACTCTGAAAAAAATCCTGGAACGGAAGAAGCAAGAGAAAAGTCCTGGAGCGGAAAGGAAAAGTCTCACCACTGCTCCTCATCTTCAATGATCGCGGCGAGCTGGTGCAACAGACTCGTCTCGGGATGGTTCCCACCAGCCACTATCTGCAGCACCAACTCGCGCACTCTGTTTAACACGACATCCGGAGGCTCTCGCGACGCCGCTGCGAGCGACGGAAACAACGCTGCGCTCGCCATGGCTGGTGGTTGATAGTTTCTTTGCTGACTGATAAGCTCAATTCGAACGAATGGATTCTAAGGTGACTGATAGCTTCAGCCCTGATGGATAAATTCAATCGCTCAATCGTTCTCAGACTGAGTCTGAAAACGCGACTGCAAACGGCCTTTGGCTGAGGATATAGGAACAGAGTTCAAAGGGAAAGCATCAAATTAAACATATCGAGCTGCATCTCATGCGTTGCTGTTTTTTACTGGTACCGACGGAACGAAAATTCGCCATGCACTCAAGCGACGAACTAACCGATGGAACTAATGACCAACGACGGACCCGAAGCGGCACAACCAGACGAACAGATTCTAACACCTACTCATAAACCTCCTAATTGAGACTGGTCATAAAAATTCTGAAACCTAAAACTTGGGTGAAATACCTGCAGCTTTATGTATTCCTGCAAGTTGACTCTTCCAGAATCTGGATTCTGGAACTACTGTAGCATGGCAAGCTCTTCCCCCCACTCCTTCCCGCCCTTCCGCTAAATCTTTTCGGCACTCCCTTTCCCCCCCCAGCAGCGAGAGACCTCGAAATACTCGCGCAAATTTTCCCCGCATGTCCGAAAATGACAGGCGCGGGAAGGGGAGGGGGGGGGAAGAATGGCGGGGGACCTACCTGAGGTTGTACAGTGTTGTGCTTGTTATGGGAGACTGGGTTGGGCCAAAACGCTAGATCAATTAGGCATCATGTGTACCCCTATTGCCGCTAACAAGAAACACTCTTTAATAGTACCGGCATTTAAGGTACCTACGGTACCACAACATCTAGAACAAATGCAAATGCCGAAGTATGGGGCGGAACTTAACCAACCATGGCTACTAGGCTCTGTTCAGGGGCAAGGTTAGCCTGACAACCACGATTTGTCTTGGCTGAAAAAAACTGAGCTCTCCCTTGTGCCATTCCACACCACACCATCCATTCTCATAGCCTTTTCTGTCACTGCCAGTGCCCCATTTCCCTGTCCAGCAGCAAGGCCAATTTCTATAACTTCATTCTAGTATACTACTACTTACTGTGATATGCACGAAGGACTGCACGGTAAGAGCTTCGAATATGTATGCGCTAACAGAAGGAGTGGACACGAGGGGACGGCAATACCGTATGTATGTTGGATCTACAGACAGCGGAAGCACATGGTTGCAGTGCATGCAGAATGCAAGGAGAATATGGACTGGGTGGGAAACAGGCTGAGCGAGCAGCAAGCAGGGCCAAAAAATTTTAATTGAGACACATAGAGAAGGGAACGTGATGAGAGGAAAAGGAGAAACGGGAGGGAGGGAGCGAGGGAGGGGGAGAAAGGGGGGAGGGTGGAGGGAGGGAGGGAGGGAGGGAGGGAGGGAGGAGGGAGGGAGGGAGGGAGGGAGGGAGGGAGGGAGGGAGGGAGGGAGGGAGGGAGAAGAAAATGGACTGAGGGAATGAGGGAGGAAGAGAGGTGAGGAAAAGAGGACGGAAGGAAGAGAAGGAGTGGGCGGGAGTGAGTGGGGATGGGGATGGTGAAGAGGGGCGAGAGAGAAGGGGAAATGGGGGAAATGCGAGGTGAAGGATGGTTGCGCGAGGGAACAGAGGTCGACGGATGGTGAAGGATGCAACTGACTGACAATCAAAGGCTTCAATGCAGCGCACGGAACGACCTCGCGTTTCGTCAAGGCTGGTATTTGCCTCGTGTAGTAGAGGCTTCCTTCAGGGATAACAAGAAAAAGGGTTTTTTAAGGTCAAAGGAAAACACGGCTGGGAAATTTGAATGCTCTTGATCGCGATGACAATGACTCGACAGAAGTGGTAGTAGCGTGGTAGTAAAGGATAGCCGCGAGTACAATATAATTCCACGACGCATACACAGCAGGAAGAATCAACGATGGGAAGAAAGTCCGGCAACAGCCGCACGCATCAACTACGCGTCTTAAACCCTGCTCCTGGGGTGGCTAGGTCAACGCCTTAACCTCCTCGTTCTCAGTCCACCAGACGGGAGAGTCGCCAACCACGGACCATTTTCCTCAAAATCGCCCATCCATGTTACGAGTCGACACGTATGTCAAGATAGCTGTCCCAGACTACCATCTATCGAAGCGCAATAGAAGAATGTCTTAAGACGAAGCGGCCGGAGCCTTCTCATCCTCTAGGCGATAGACAGGAGGCGCTTCGGGCAGCGGCCCGTAGTCCTTGGTTCCGCCGCGCTTCCTGTCCCACACCGCGTGCTTCTTGGGCCGCGTCGCCACGTGGCGGCCCGTCGCCTTCTTGTTCACGTGGTGCGCCGACTCGACGTTTAGTCGCCGCGAAGAAACCGGCGCGGTTGACGGGGAGGCGAGCACTGCAGGGCACGTGGCGATGGACGCGGCGAAAGAGAGGGAAGCCATGGCGCTAGGTGTTGGGAAACGCAACGGGTGGTTTGCGATGAGAGCGGGCAACAGGATGTGATAGAAAGCTGGGAACTCCGAAATGGAACGCAAGGTAGAGAGCGGAAGGAGGGAGGTGGGGAGGAGGAGAAAGGGATGATGATGGGTTCTGTGGTGTGGTGCGGTGTGTGTGGCATGGAACCAGCCTGCAACACTGCCCAAGCAGGGCGATGTGACGGGTGGTGTGGATAGGTCGACGTGGCAGGTGTGTGGAATCAGATGAGGTGTACAAAGTGTTAGAAAAATAACGATATAATTGCTTCACAAAGAGGTATAAAAAAAATTGGGAAATTCCCTGACTAACTGGCTCTAAAGAACAGAGAAGGGCTATACAAGAGGTTAGCGGCTCTATATGGTAGGTTAGGTGACATAAAACAGTTGGAGAAATGCTCCAACTTCGACCAGCTCCAGCAGTGAAGTCACTAGGACTTGTTCTTGGCATGCTTGATAAGCCAGTCGATAACGACATCAATGTTAGTCGCATGCTTGCAGGAGATGCTGTAGCAGCACACCTCCCTTCCCTGCATCACCTGGTTCAACCCCCTGCACCAGCACCAGCACATACACAAATGCCCCATTAAAAAATCATGTACCGTAGGAAGTTGAGAGGAACACCAAGGACATAACACTGATAAGTATCACGACGACTATCAAGGCACCAGAGAGAAAAAAAAGGGCGAATTTAAAGCAGGCGCTTACATGGCTTCAATGAGGGCATCCCGTGAAACGGCTTCTGCCTTGTCGCACTTGTTCCCCAGCAGCAGCAGCGGGATGCCAGCAAGAGACGGCTTGCTCAGCAGCTCATGCAGCTCTCTGCGTGACACTGGGATGTTGTCATGATCTGATGCATCCACCACGTAGCTGCAAGAGCGCGGGGGAAAGGATGGGACAGGAGGGGGAGAAAAGGGGTGTCCGGTTCTAATATAGCTAAATCAGGACTGGGAAGTTGTCAAGATCCGATGCATCCAACACATTGCTGCGACGGGGTGGGAAAAAGAGCGGCAGTAAAGGGGCGAGGGGGATTGAGGGTGAAGAAAAGTCTATCGTGAGGTGCCTAAAAAACACGCTGCGATGTTGTCATGGCCTGGAGCATCCACCACATAGCTGAGACGAAGGGAGAGGATGGGAAAGGGGGGAAACGGACGAGGGGAGAGGGGGATTGAGGGTTGGAGAAGAAGGGACGGCTCAATAATTGGCAGGAATGTTGTTGTGATCTTATAGATCCATCATATAGCTGTGAGAGTGCGAGGGGATGTAAGGAGGTTGGGGAAGGAGGGGGGGTAGAAAAAAAGGGGGGTGTGGTGGGGGGGGGGGAGGAGGGAGAGAATAATGTGGTGAGGTGAATGCAAGCAAGGATTGCAGAGCCTAACCCTGATGAGTAAGAACGTGAACAAGGAACGCAAGAGGGTGCTGCTTACACAATGGCTGACACGCCTCGGCAGTATCTCTCCCACATGCTCCGAAATCTCGGTTGCCCGCCCAGATCCCACAGCTTTATGCTCACATTCCCTTTCGTCACCTTGCGCATGTTAAAGCCCACCTGTGGAGAAACAGAACCAGAGAAGGCACCAGCGGTACAGGTCAGAGGATAGGATGGCAAGGAGGGTTCATTGAGCGTCTCTGAGGAGAAAACAATGGGAAAAGATTGGGTAGGGAAATGAATGGTTGCCAGCAGAGAAAAGTGGTGGTCTGGAGAGGGCTGCGGAGTGCTACAGTGTGGTGTGACATAGCATCACATGGTGCGGTGTGGCAGGGATGTTGAGGGATGTGGTGTGGTGCAGTGCTGTGCTGTGTTGCGCAAAGTGGCATGCCGTTTGATACCATACCGTGGGGATCATGTCTTCATTGAAACCGCCAGTCTGCGCAGAGAAAAGGCAAGGGAACGACAAGGGAGGAACCACATGCCATAGGTGCATCGCGGACGGAGAGAATGGGGATACATGCCACAGCCACACATGCACACAACAGAGATCAGGACGGTCAGCAGAGAGAAGTGAACGGACAGCGACCGAGCAACATATGGTACGGCTAACAGCTAACTGCTAACGGCTGACGGCCACGGACCGGCAGCGGCCGGCGATCTGGTCGGGACTTACAGCGATGACGTTAACGAGCGACGTTTTGCCGGCGTTTTGAAGGCCGATGAGCGACAGCTCCATCTCCTGCTGGAAAAATAGACTGGGAGGTTGTGGAAATACGCGTTGGGGAAAGACACGACGAAGGAGAGGCGTTAACGGGAGCAAGCGGTTAGAATCGACACGGCATGAGAGAGGCCGATGAGCGAGAGCTTCATCTCCTGCTCGAAGAATAGACTGCGATGCGATAGAGGTGGAAGGACACACACGCGGGATAGGCGGAAAACGGAATAGCCGTTGAAGCTAGGAGATAAGAACGGGAATAGACGGGATGGATAAGAGGGCAGTGAGAGAAAACGATGTGCGCGAGTGACAGTTTCCTGTTCAACGAGCAGCGCGTGCCGAAAGATGATTTCGAGGATTTCGACACGGTCAAAACGAAAGGAGTTCGTCGGAACCAGCAAACTGGATCCAGGCATAAACGAGCGGAGGACAGCGAGCGGAGCACACCTGCGTAACCAGTTAAGGACGTATTCCCACAGGGCCATCATCTTGGCGACTTGACTCGACGCAATGCACGAAGTGACTTAAATGCCTACTCAGCGACGCAACCACGGCGAAGCCAAATAAGAGCGATGAGATCGAGCTACGAGGAGGAGCGAGGTGGACCTAATTCGAGCGAAGTGCTTGAAAAAGACGCGAGGTAAGCGAGGAGTGAAGCGGAGACAGGACGTTGACCTAACTGGAAAATGAAGTGAGAGATGGAACGCAAGAAGTTAAATTTTGGATTAATGTAATATGTTTTGCGTGCCAAACGTCGAGATGGCCGAGTTGGTCTAAGGCGCTGGATTAAGGTTCCAGTCCGAAAGGGCGTGGGTTCAAATCCCACTGTCGACAACTTTCTTCCCTTTTTCTCCACAGACCGCCGAGCCGTCACGTTGGGAATCACGTTGGGATTCGGGATTCGGGATTTGGGGAACGTGACGTGACGTGACTGCACTGTACTGCCTGTGACGTGCCACCGCCAAGCCGAGCCATGCCCTTCGCTCTCTGCTGGTTGCGTGCTTTTCCGAGCCCGAGGCTCGTGTCCCGGGTTTTTTCGGATGACCCATCGAAACCAGCCCTGGGCATTTGCGTTTTGTTCCAGCCCATGGCTCTGTTCTGAAGGCGCATCAGCCCGGATGACTACAGTAAAACAGGATTCCTCGATCCTTCCTCGATACCAGTCAGAGGGCTGATGCGCCTGCAGAACACGGCCCAGGTTTTGCATCCATTGCATCTGTCAGCGTCAACTAGAGGCGTTGGGATTTGCTTTGCCACTCTATCCCAATTTGCTTTTCTACGGAAAGGTAGTATTTTCTCCCACATGTGCTGCTAGTGCTTGAAGCGAGTTCCAAGAAGCCTAGTGCGTATTCTTGCGGTTGTTTTTCTTTCCGTCGATTCTCGCCGCGGAGTTCACTCGACAGAACAAAAGAAAGGAAAAAAACTGCCTCTTTTAGTCCGCATTGCGGTACTCTTAGCTCGCAGATTGACTCGCGATGGCCAGTCAGGCATCGCAGGGAGCAGATCCCACCGCTGCTGCGGCTAATTTTGCCGCGAATGCTGCGTCACAGCAGCATCCGGGAGGAGCAGACGCGCAGCAGGTCGCTGGTTACCAGCAGGCAATGCACATGATGCACGTGCAGGGAGGACACGTGGCGAACGCTGGTGCGATGCCGCAGGGTTACCCTCAACAGGTGTGAGGCTCCTTCAGCTTTTTAAGCCTAATTTTGTCATTCCGATAATAGCTGATATAATAAAAGAACGGAGTTTTTTTTATTTTCTCCTCTTGCAACTTGATTGAGCATTTGTTCCGTTGAACCTGTCAGCCATTGTTGTATACCGACAGAGGGTCGTTACCTGAAATGGTCGCGATAGTGATCGTGATCGCAGTAAAAAAAATGCTGAGCAGTTGCTCCAAAATCAAGTTTCGGATCTGACTCTTTCAGTTAATTTTCGCGTCCAAATTGTGTATGTTTCTGTTCATGTTTCGCAGATGCCTGGATCTTATCCGATGTACGCCATGGGTCCCATGGGGCCGGTCATGGTCAACCCTCAGATGTACGCCGCTTACATGCAGAACATGCAACACATGCATCCCCAATTCGCCGCCGCGCAAGCCGCCGCCGCCGCCGCTGCTGCTGGTGCCGCCCAGAAACCCGGCGCAGCAGCCGCTGGTGCTCCGGATGGAGGTTCGGGAGCAGCAGGTTCGGCAGGAACAGGTTCGGCAGCAGCAGGTTCGGCAGCAGCAGGTGGAGGCATTGACGCGTTTGCGAGTCTGCTGGGCAGCACGGATCGTGCTCTGCTGGCGAAAGCGGGGGAGGCTGCCGCGCAGAAGATGCACGTGAAGGGCTTTAAGGGTCAGGGGGAGTCGGGACAGGAAGTGACGGGAGAATCCGTGCCACAGCAACAGCAGCAGCAGCAGCAGCCCGAAGGAGGCAAACCTCTCTCCCCTGGCGCCTCAGCACCCGCGGCACATGCACCAGTAGCATCTGCACCAGCAGCCATTGTTCCCACAGGTACCCACCCACCTAAAGTAGCACCGGGCATGCGACCGGGTTTCCCTGCAGGAATACCCCCAGGAATGCCATCAGGGATGCCGCAATACCCCCAATATGCCTACTATCCCGGGGGAATGCCCTGGTGGCCTCCAGGTGCTGTTCCAGGTGCTGTTCCAGGTGCTGTTCCAGGTGCTGTACCTGGCGCTGCTTCTGGCTCAAACCCCGGAGGTCCTCCAGGTGCCGCTTCAGGTGCTGCTCCAGGTGTAATTACAGGTGCAGGCCCTGTTGCGGCTCCAGGTGTAACAGGAGCAGCGCCAGGGGCAGTGCCAGGCGAAGGTGCGGGCGGCGCAGCGAAGGAAGCAGCAGCATCATCAGCAGCAGCAGGTGCAGGAGCAGCAACAGCAGCAGCACCTGAAGTGCCAGCTACCAAGAAACCAGCTGCTGCTGCGCCAGCAGTGGTGGTTCCTCAGCCTCGTAACCTTGCTGCTCCCATCCCTCTGTCGCTCTTTGGGGAGGAGGAGGAGCCAGAGGAGGAGGAGGGGAAGGAGGAGGAGAGCAAGCAGGAGGGAGAAGCAGCACCGGCTGCTGCGTCTGCTGCTGACGGTGTAGCTGCACCAGCAGCAGCAGAATCAGCAGCAGTTGCAGCGGCAGCAGCAGAGGCGCCAGGAGCAGCAGCAGCATCGTCTCTCGAAGCTGACGATGATGATGATTTCGGTGACTTCTCATCCGTCCCATCTTCCAGTGCAGCCCCCACTGCTTCTACCGACTCTGCTGCTTCCGCCGAACTCGCTGCTTCTGTTGCCGCTCCTACCGCTGCTGGTTCTGCTCCTGCTGTCGCTGGCTCTGCCGCTACCACTGTGCCAGTGCCTTCAGCAGCAGCTGTGCCTGCCGCTGTATCAGCTGCTGTGGCAGGAGCAGGGCCAGCAGAGGAGGAGGACGAGTGGGGGGATTTCTCAGACTCTTTCGCTCCGGCTCCTGCTGCTCCTGCTGCTCCTGCTGCTCCCGCTACCCAGGCGAACCTTTCCCAAGCGGATGATCCCCATATTTTCGTTTCCAGTGCACCTGCACCGGGTTTGTCTGCTGCTGCTCTGTCCCACCCTGCTCCTGCCCCTGCACCCTCGTCCTTCCTTGGTCCTATATCCCTGGCCGCCTTCCAGACCACAGCGCCGGGCCCAGCAGCAGCGGAAGCAGCAGCAGCACCAGTGGCAGCGGCAGGTGGGGCTGGACCAGTGGCAGCAGCAGCAGCAGCAGCAGCAAGAGCAGGAGGAGGACGACTTTGCTGACTTTGTCTCTAGTGGGGCATCGGACGCACCCAAGGCAGCACAGGCATCAGACACTCGGGCAGCTGGAGAGCTTAATTCCTTAGGCACTGAGTTGCCTATTGCCTTTGGCTCTGCCGCTGCCACAGCTGCAGCACCCACACCTGCTCCCGTACTTGCATCCTTTTCTTCACCAGCACCAGCAGCCGTGACGTTCGACCCAGATGACGACTTTGGTGATTTCTCCTCCTCCCCGGCAGTCCCCTCTGCTGCCTTCGCCCCTGCAGTTGCTGGGCCTGCACCCGCTGCAGCATCCGGTTTGGGCATGGGCATGGCTGCAGGTGCTGCCTCCTTCCCTCCCTCCATTGACTCAACACCCCAGTTCTCTGCTGCGGGCTTTGGAGCCTTCGCCCCTCCTCCTGGCGCTTCTGCTGCTGCTCCTGCTGCTCCGCCTCCTGCTTTCGCCCCTCCTGCTGCTGCCCCCGCAGCAGCTGCAAGCAACGAGATCTCATTTGACGATGATGATGACGATTTTGGGGATTTTGCAGGGAGCGTTGCTGTGAGTGGGAGTGCGGGCAGCGGGAGAGGGGATGCTGCTGCTGGTTTGCCCGCTGCTTCGGGTACAGTCTCCGCTTCCCCGGAATTTGTGGGGGTAGACCTCAGCAGCGCCGCGGTTACCCCTGATCCTTCGATTCGCCTGGATGAGTCGGGGGCAGGGAATCCAGTGCTGGTGCCGAGTAATTCAGTGGCGGCAGCAGAAACAGCAGCTCTGGCAGCAGCAATGACTGAATCCCAGGGTCGCTGCCGCTGCTGCTGCTGCTGCTGCTGCTGCCGCTGGTGCTGATGGGGTTGCATCTGCTGCCGCTGTTGGTGTTGCTGCTGGTCCGATTCCTCTCTCTCTCTTCGGAGATGACGTGGCAGTTGCTGAGCTGGAGAACGCTGAGCTGTCTCTCGGGCCGTTCCCTTCCACTGGCAGCAGCAAGGCAGCGAACCAAGCTTCAGCCCCAGCCACAGGCACAGGCAAGGAGGCAGCTACCACTGCTGCTGCTGCCACTGCTTCTGCTGGTTCTGGGAAGTCTGGTAACCTAATGGACCTACTCTCGTCCCTCTATGGAAGCTCGTCTGTAGGGACTGCAGCAGGCGCAGGAGGGGCAGGAGCAGCAGGGGCAGCAGCAGGAGGAGCAGGGGGAGGAGCAGCAGGGGGAGCAGGATCAGGAGGAGGGAGGCTGGAAGGGGGGCGGTTGGGTCAAACATTCTCAACGGGGCGAGTGCCTCTAGCAATGGCGTCTGCTGCTGGGTATGGCAGTTTGTTCGGCCTTCTCTCCCCGGGAACCCCTCCTGCTGATGTGCCTTTGAGGGGTTCCATGAGCGAGCAGGTGGGGCAGAGAGGGGGGGGGAGGGGAGGGGTGGCGGGGTCGCTGTCAGGGGAGGGTGGGGAAGGCTGGGAGGAGCAAGGTGACGGGTTGGCGGGCGGCACAAGTTTGTCCTTTGCGGCGGTGGACGGCGGTGGTAGTTCCACCGGTGGTGCTGCCGGCGATGGTAGCAGCACAGGCGCTTCAGGTGCCTCAGGTGCCTCAGGAGGGCCGTCAGGTGCTTCAGGTGGTTCCTCAGGTGCTCCAGGGGCTTCCTACCGCAGAAGTGGCCTGCCAGGGGGCGGGCTACAGGGCCTGGCAGCAGACCACGTGCTGCCCATAGTGGGGTCTCAACTGGGGGAGGGCGTATTCACTGCCAGCATCACCGCCGCCCTAGAGTCCGTCCTTCAGCCCACAGTGATCCGCCTTCCCAACGAAGCTTCTCAAAAGAGATGGGAGGAGACGCTACAGGAGCTGGCGGAAGGGGCGGAGAGCATTGCGCGGAACGAGTTTGGGCGGCTGAGTGGGGAGCTGGTGAGGGAGGGGAGGATGGAGGAGGCGTATGCGTGCCGCCTGCATGCTGCAGCGGTGCAGTTATTGCCTGACTGTCAGGGGCAATACTCCATGGCTCTGGGGGATGGAAGAGTGGAGGATGCTGCTGCTGTGAGGGAAGATATCAAGGTGAGTGCGCTTCTGTGCCCCCTCTTGCGCTCTCTCGTGCTGCTGAGTGGGGAGCTATCTTCTTCCTCTGTTCTTCCCCTGTGCTTCCTCTTGCAGCGGATGGAGACTGTGTTGGGAAGTCCAGCGGCGGTGGAAGGGTGGAGGGAGAGGAGGAAAGCAGCAGCGCCGTCAGTGCCACCAAGCCAGCATGCGGATCAAGACGGTGGTGACAAAGCAACCACTGAAGGCGGCGAGGAAACAACCACCACGGAGAGTGGCACGGGAAGCTCAGACGGTGGGGCCACTGAAGGTGGTGTGGCTGGGTTGGGTTCCGAGTCTCAAGGGGCTGAGGGCGCCGTGACACAGACAGAGGACAACAGGTCGAGCTTACAGGAAGGTGAGTCCATGAGATACCTGTTCGTGATTAATGCTTTATTGACTCGGATGACTCTGTTAAGTTGACTCCACTGATCTGTTACTCCTCTTAACCCGTTGACTCTGCTATATCTGACTCTGCTGACTCTGATCACCCTGTCTGCTACAGCCGAGGCAGCGGCTGAGAGCAATTCAGGGAGGAACTCTTTGTCTCTGAGGTGGGATGAGCGGTCGGTGGGGGAGATGGGGGAGCTGCTGGGGCGCAGCAAGGGAGACGCCAGGGCTGCTGCTTTTGATGGAGAGTTCAAGGAAGAAGAAATATGTGGTCTGGTGAGCATGGAAGTGGACACAGGTGCAGGCAGTGAGCAGGGAAGTGGACACAGGTGCAGGCAGTGAGCAGGGAAGTGGGCACAGGTGCAGGCAGTGAGCAGGGAAGTGGGCACAGGTGCAGGCAGTGAGCAGGGAAGTGGGCACAGGTGCAGGCAGTGAGCAGGGAAGTGGGCACAGGTGCAGGCAGTGAGCAGGGAAGTGGGCACAGGTGCAGGCAGTGAGCAGGGAAGTGGGCATAGGTGCAGGCAGTGAGCAGGGAAGTGGGCACAGGTGCAGGCAGTGAGCAGGGAAGTGGGCACAGGTGCAGGCAGTGAGCATGGAAGTGGGCACAGGTGCAGGCAGTGAGCAGGGAAGTGGGCACAGGTGCAGGCAGTGAGCATGGAAGTGGGCACAGGTGCAGGCAGTGAGCATGGAAGTGGGCACAGGTGCAGGCAGTGAGCATGGAAGTGGGCACAGGTGCAGGCAGTGAGCATGGAAGTGGGCACAGGTGCAGGCAGTGAGCATGGAAGTGGGCACAGGTGCAGGCAGTGAGCATGGAAGTGGGCACAGGTGCAGGCAGTGAGCATGGAAGTGGGCACAGGTGCAGGCAGTGAGCATGGAAGTGGGCACAGGTGCAGGCAGTGAGCATGGAAGTGGGCACAGGTGCAGGCAGTGAGCATGGAAGTGGGCACAGGTGCAGGCAGTGAGCATGGAAGTGGGCACAGGTGCAGGCAGTGAGCATGGAAGTGGGCACAGGTGCAGGCAGTGAGCATGGAAGTGGGCACAGGTGCAGGCAGTGAGCATGGAAGTGGGCACAGGTGCAGGCAGTGAGCATGGAAGTGGGCACAGGTGCAGGCAGTGAGCATGGAAGTGGGCACAGGTGCAGGCAGTGAGCATGGAAGTGGGCACAGGTGCAGGCAGTGAGCATGGAAGTGGGCACAGGTGCAGGCAGTGAGCATGGAAGTGGGCACAGGTGCAGGCAGTGAGCATGGAAGTGGGCACAGGTGCAGGCAGTGAGCATGGAAGTGGGCACAGGTGCAGGCAGTGAGCATGGAAGTGGGCACAGGTGCAGGCAGTGAGCATGGAAGTGGGCACAGGTGCAGGCAGTGAGCATGGAAGTGGGCACAGGTGCAGGCAGTGAGCATGGAAGTGGGCACAGGTGCAGGCAGTGAGCAGGGAAGTGGGCACAGGTGCAGGCAGTGAGCATGGAAGTGGGCACAGGTGCAGGCAGTGAGCATGGAAGTGGGCACAGGTGCAGGCAGTGAGCATGGAAGTGGGCACAGGTGCAGGCAGTGAGCATGGAAGTGGGCACAGGTGCAGGCAGTGAGCATGGAAGTGGGCACAGGTGCAGGCAGTGAGCATGGAAGTGGGCACAGGTGCAGGCAGTGAGCATGGAAGTGGGCACAGGTGCAGGCAGTGAGCATGGAAGTGGGCACAGGTGCAGGCAGTGAGCATGGAAGTGGGCACAGGTGCAGGCAGTGAGCATGGAAGTGGGCACAGGTGCAGGCAGTGAGCATGGAAGTGGGCACAGGTGCAGGCAGTGAGCATGGAAGTGGGCACAGGTGCAGGCAGTGAGCATGGAAGTGGGCACAGGTGCAGGCAGTGAGCATGGAAGTGGGCACAGGTGCAGGCAGTGAGCATGGAAGTGGGCACAGGTGCAGGCAGTGAGCATGGAAGTGGGCACAGGTGCAGGCAGTGAGCATGGAAGTGGGCACAGGTGCAGGCAGTGAGCATGGAAGTGGGCACAGGTGCAGGCAGTGAGCATGGAAGTGGGCACAGGTGCAGGCAGTGAGCATGGAAGTGGGCACAGGTGCAGGCAGTGAGCATGGAAGTGGGCACAGGTGCAGGCAGTGAGCATGGAAGTGGGCACAGGTGCAGGCAGTGAGCATGGAAGTGGGCACAGGTGCAGGCAGTGAGCATGGAAGTGGGCACAGGTGCAGGCAGTGAGCATGGAAGTGGGCACAGGTGCAGGCAGTGAGCATGGAAGTGGGCACAGGTGCAGGCAGTGAGCATGGAAGTGGGCACAGGTGCAGGCAGTGAGCATGGAAGTGGGCACAGGTGCAGGCAGTGAGCATGGAAGTGGGCACAGGTGCAGGCAGTGAGCATGGAAGTGGGCACAGGTGCAGGCAGTGAGCATGGAAGTGGGCACAGGTGCAGGCAGTGAGCATGGAAGTGGGCACAGGTGCAGGCAGTGAGCATGGAAGTGGGCACAGGTGCAGGCAGTGAGCATGGAAGTGGGCACAGGTGCAGGCAGTGAGCATGGAAGTGGGCACAGGTGCAGGCAGTGAGCATGGAAGTGGGCACAGGTGCAGGCAGTGAGCATGGAAGTGGGCACAGGTGCAGGCAGTGAGCATGGAAGTGGGCACAGGTGCAGGCAGTGAGCATGGAAGTGGGCACAGGTGCAGGCAGTGAGCATGGAAGTGGGCACAGGTGCAGGCAGTGAGCATGGAAGTGGGCACAGGTGCAGGCAGTGAGCATGGAAGTGGGCACAGGTGCAGGCAGTGAGCATGGAAGTGGGCACAGGTGCAGGCAGTGAGCATGGAAGTGGGCACAGGTGCAGGCAGTGAGCATGGAAGTGGGCACAGGTGCAGGCAGTGAGCATGGAAGTGGGCACAGGTGCAGGCAGTGAGCATGGAAGTGGGCACAGGTGCAGGCAGTGAGCATGGAAGTGGGCACAGGTGCAGGCAGTGAGCATGGAAGTGGGCACAGGTGCAGGCAGTGAGCATGGAAGTGGGCACAGGTGCAGGCAGTGAGCATGGAAGTGGGCACAGGTGCAGGCAGTGAGCATGGAAGTGGGCACAGGTGCAGGCAGTGAGCATGGAAGTGGGCACAGGTGCAGGCAGTGAGCATGGAAGTGGGCACAGGTGCAGGCAGTGAGCATGGAAGTGGGCACAGGTGCAGGCAGTGAGCATGGAAGTGGGCACAGGTGCAGGCAGTGAGCATGGAAGTGGGCACAGGTGCAGGCAGTGAGCATGGAAGTGGGCACAGGTGCAGGCAGTGAGCATGGAAGTGGGCACAGGTGCAGGCAGTGAGCATGGAAGTGGGCACAGGTGCAGGCAGTGAGCATGGAAGTGGGCACAGGTGCAGGCAGTGAGCATGGAAGTGGGCACAGGTGCAGGCAGTGAGCATGGAAGTGGGCACAGGTGCAGGCAGTGAGCATGGAAGTGGGCACAGGTGCAGGCAGTGAGCATGGAAGTGGGCACAGGTGCAGGCAGTGAGCATGGAAGTGGGCACAGGTGCAGGCAGTGAGCATGGAAGTGGGCACAGGTGCAGGCAGTGAGCATGGAAGTGGGCACAGGTGCAGGCAGTGAGCATGGAAGTGGGCACAGGTGCAGGCAGTGAGCATGGAAGTGGGCACAGGTGCAGGCAGTGAGCATGGAAGTGGGCACAGGTGCAGGCAGTGAGCATGGAAGTGGGCACAGGTGCAGGCAGTGAGCATGGAAGTGGGCACAGGTGCAGGCAGTGAGCATGGAAGTGGGCACAGGTGCAGGCAGTGAGCATGGAAGTGGGCACAGGTGCAGGCAGTGAGCATGGAAGTGGGCACAGGTGCAGGCAGTGAGCATGGAAGTGGGCACAGGTGCAGGCAGTGAGCATGGAAGTGGGCACAGGTGCAGGCAGTGAGCATGGAAGTGGGCACAGGTGCAGGCAGTGAGCATGGAAGTGGGCACAGGTGCAGGCAGTGAGCATGGAAGTGGGCACAGGTGCAGGCAGTGAGCATGGAAGTGGGCACAGGTGCAGGCAGTGAGCATGGAAGTGGGCACAGGTGCAGGCAGTGAGCATGGAAGTGGGCACAGGTGCAGGCAGTGAGCATGGAAGTGGGCACAGGTGCAGGCAGTGAGCATGGAAGTGGGCACAGGTGCAGGCAGTGAGCATGGAAGTGGGCACAGGTGCAGGCAGTGAGCATGGAAGTGGGCACAGGTGCAGGCAGTGAGCATGGAAGTGGGCACAGGTGCAGGCAGTGAGCATGGAAGTGGGCACAGGTGCAGGCAGTGAGCATGGAAGTGGGCACAGGTGCAGGCAGTGAGCATGGAAGTGGGCACAGATGCAGGCAGTGAGCATGGAAGTGGGCACAGGTGCAGGCAGTGAGCATGGAAGTGGGCACAGGTGCAGGCAGTGAGCATGGAAGTGGGCACAGGTGCAGGCAGTGAGCATGGAAGTGGGCACAGGTGCAGGCAGTGAGCATGGAAATGGGCACAGGTGCAGGCAGTGAGCATGGAAGTGGGCACAGGTGCAGGCAGTGAGCATGGAAGTGGGCACAGGTGCAGGCAGTGAGCATGGAAGTGGGCACAGGTGCAGGCAGTGAGCATGGAAGTGGGCACAGGTGCAGGCAGTGAGCATGGAAGTGGGCACAGGTGCAGGCAGTGAGCATGGAAGTGGGCACAGGTGCAGGCAGTGAGCATGGAAGTGGGCACAGGTGCAGGCAGTGAGCATGGAAGTGGGCACAGGTGCAGGCAGTGAGCATGGAAGTGGGCACAGGTGCAGGCAGTGAGCATGGAAGTGGGCACAGGTGCAGGCAGTGAGCATGGAAGTGGGCACAGGTGCAGGCAGTGAGCATGGAAGTGGGCACAGGTGCAGGCAGTGAGCATGGAAGTGGGCACAGGTGCAGGCAGTGAGCATGGAAGTGGGCACAGGTGCAGGCAGTGAACATGGAAGTGGGCACAGGTGCAGGCAGTGAGCATGGAAGTGGGCACAGGTGCAGGCAGTGAGCATGGAAGTGGGCACAGGTGCAGGCAGTGAGCATGGAAGTGGGCACAGGTGCAGGCAGTGAGCATGGAAGTGGGCACAGGTGCAGGCAGTGAGCATGGAAGTGGGCACAGGTGCAGGCAGTGAGCATGGAAGTGGGCACAGGTGCAGGCAGTGAGCATGGAAGTGGGCACAGGTGCAGGCAGTGAGCATGGAAGTGGGCACAGGTGCAGGCAGTGAGCATGGAAGTGGGCACAGGTGCAGGCAGTGAACATGGAAGTGGGCACAGGTGCAGGCAGTGAGCATGGAAGTGGGCACAGGTGCAGGCAGTGAGCATGGAAGTGGGCACAGGTGCAGGCAGTGAACATGGAAGTGGGCACAGGTGCAGGCAGTGAGCATGGAAGTGGGCACAGGTGCAGGCAGTGAGCATGGAAGTGGGCACAGGTGCAGGCAGTGAGCATGGAAGTGGGCACAGGTGCAGGCAGTGAGCATGGAAGTGGGCACAGGTGCAGGCAGTGAGCATGGAAGTGGGCACAGGTGCAGGCAGTGAACATGGAAGTGGGCACAGGTGCAGGCAGTGAGCATGGAAGTGGGCACAGGTGCAGGCAGTGAGCATGGAAGTGGGCACAGGTGCAGGCAGTGAGCATGGAAGTGGGCACAGGTGCAGGCAGTGAGCATGGAAGTGGGCACAGGTGCAGGCAGTGAACATGGAAGTGGGCACAGGTGCAGGCAGTGAGCATGGAAGTGGGCACAGGTGCAGGCAGTGAGCATGGAAGTGGGCACAGGTGCAGGCAGTGAGCATGGAAGTGGGCACAGGTGCAGGCAGTGAGCATGGAAGTGGGCACAGGTGCAGGCAGTGAGCATGGAAGTGGGCACAGGTGCAGGCAGTGAACATGGAAGTGGGCACAGGTGCAGGCAGTGAGCATGGAAGTGGGCACAGGTGCAGGCAGTGAACATGGAAGTGGGCACAGGTGCAGGCAGTGAGCATGGAAGTGGGCACAGGTGCAGGCAGTGAGCATGGAAGTGGGCACAGGTGCAGGCAGTGAACATGGAAGTGGGCACAGGTGCAGGCAGTGAACATGGAAGTGGGCACAGGTGCAGGCAGTGAACATGGAAGTGGGCACAGGTGCAGGCAGTGAACATGGAAGTGGGCACAGGTGCAGGCAGTGAACATGGAAGTGGGCACAGGTGCAGGCAGTGAACATGGAAGTGGGCACAGGTGCAGGCATTGAACATGGAAGTGGGCACAGGTGCAGGCAGTGAACATGGAAGTGGGCACAGGTGCAGGCAGTGAACATGGAAGTGGGCACAGGTGCAGGCAGTGAACATGGAAGTGGGCACAGGTGCAGGCAGTGAACATGGAAGTGGGCACAGGTGCAGGCAGTGAACATGGAAGTGGGCACAGGTGCAGGCAGTGAACATGGAAGTGGGCACAGGTGCAGGCAGTGAACATGGAAGTGGGCACAGGTGCAGGCAGTGAGCATGGAAGTGGGCACAGGTGCAGGCAGTGAACATGGAAGTGGGCACAGGTGCAGGCAGTGAACATGGAAGTGGGCACAGGTGCAGGCAGTGAACATGGAAGTGGGCACAGGTGCAGGCAGTGAACATGGAAGTGGGCACAGGTGCAGGCAGTGAACATGGAAGTGGGCACAGGTGCAGGCAGTGAACATGGAAGTGGGCACAGGTGCAGGCAGTGAGCATGGAAGTGGGCACAGGTGCAGGCAGTGAACATGGAAGTGGGCACAGGTGCAGGCAGTGAACATGGAAGTGGGCACAGGTGCAGGCAGTGAGCATGGAAGTGGGCACAGGTGCAGGCAGTGAACATGGAAGTGGGCACAGGTGCAGGCAGTGAGCAGGGAAGTGGGCACAGGTGCAGGCAGTGAGCAGGGAAGTGGGCTGGTAGTGAGTGGGACGAGCGGTCGGTGGGGGAGATGGGGGAGCTGCTGGGGCGCAGCAAGGGGGACGCCAGGGCTGCTGCGTTTGATGGGGAGTTCAAGCATGCTGAGATCTGTGACCTGGTGAGTGCTGAGGGTAGATTGTTTTTTAGAATTCTCAAAAGCAATCGTGAGTGCTGAGGGTTAAGCAGGGGGCTGCATGGGGAGCGAGGTGGAGTGACTTTTGAGTCGACTCAAAAGTCATCTAGTGAGTGCTGAGGGTTAAGCAGGGGACTGGGTGGGGAGCGTGGTGGAGTCGATGGGGGTACAGCAGAGGGGATGGCAAGCAGGAGGGCACTCTGTTTCTTGAACCTCTGCCAACCTACCCTCCTCTCCTCCCCACCGTTGCTCATCAAGACTCTTCCAATAAAAAACATCCTGTCCACCATTTCCCAACCACATCCCCTCAGGCAATTCGGGACCTCGCAACTACGCTGCTGGTGCATTGAAAAGTTGTTTTTCTGCTTCTGTTTGACCCTCTGCCAACCTTCCCCCCAACCTTCCCCAATTGCTCTTGGGCTGGTTGATGCGCTCCTTTCTGTCATCCCTTTCCCTCAGGTTGCCCGGGATCTCACAGCAGCACTGCTGATGCACCCGAGGGCCGTCTTCTTCTTGACCCTCTTCCAACCTTTCCCCCAACCTTCGCCCGATGCTCTCGCACTGGTTGAAGCCCTCCTGTGTCCTGTCCCTTCCCTTCAGGCCGCCCGGGATCTCACAGCAGCACTGCTGATGCACCGAAGGGCCATCTTTTGGTACAACATTCTCTCGGCAGTTTCTGCAGCAGAGGCGGCGTCGTTTGTCCGGTTGTGGGGGGCTGTTGCGGCGCGGTGCGCAGATGTTCTGGAGGCAGCAGTGGGCGTGAAGGAGAAGGCTGCTGCTGATGGCGCTGCAACGCTCGCTGCTCTGCTCGACAATCCCAAGGGTATGAACTCCATGCCATTGCTTTTCAGTCGGCTCAAAAATAGGTCTGCAGATGTACTAGAGGCAGCAGTGGGCGTGAAAGAGAAAGCTGCTGCTGATGGCGCTGCAACGCTCGCTGCTCTGCTCGACAATCCCAAGGGTGAGTACTCCGTACCATTGTTTTCCAGTCTGCTCGAAGTATGTTCGGGTGCTAAGTGGGAGCGTTGCTGGTGCTGGGGTGGCCCCACATACTAGGTGCTGGTGTGCTGGTGTGCTGGTGTGCTGGTGTCATTGCTGCTTAAATGTATGCATGTTCCCTCCTCTCCTCCCTTCCCCCCCCCCAGCACGTGACTATTTCGCAGCCATCACCCAGACCTACGGTGTGCTTGTAGTCATCGCTGCCTGTGCCCAGCTGCACCGACCCTGGCTCGCCGTCAGGCTCGGCACAGGCTCGGCAGGATCACCATCAGGTTCGGGTGAACCTGGCAGCATGGCAGCAGGGGAGGAGGAGCAGGGGGGAGGGGACGGGGAGGGGGATATACTGTGGGCGCACTTGCTTAGGGGGCAGGCAGCCTGGCATAATGGAGGGCTGGAAGCAGTGGCGAATGAGGTGCTGCCACGTGTCATGCTGCCGCTGTCATGGTCGGACGTGGAGAAGATGCTGGAGGGCGCTGAGCTGGCAGCGGTGCAGCGGGCTGCTGAGCTGGCGCTGGAAGGGCGGCAGAGACACATGGGGCTCGTGGGAGGGTCGGGGACTCTGCTATGTGCTCTCACTCGGCTGCCCATCTTTGCCTTCACATGTAAGCCTCTCTCTCCCATCTCTTGAGTCAACTGGAAAGTCACCTGGGGGAGGCCTCACTTGCGCATTTCTCACGTCAACTTACTGGGGGACTCTGTTATGTGCTATCACTGGGCTGCTCATCACATGTACCGGTATGCCTAATTTTTGCATAACATTCAGCCCTCTTCTTTGTGAATGGTTCTGTTCCGCTTCTGATCTTGTAATCTGCTCTAAGTGGAACAGAGAGTATAATGTATGGAGGGGGTGCTGTTTCTGTTTGCGGTTTCAAAGTAGCTATGTTAGATCGGCGTTGTCGATGTGTGTTGGCTTATCGATGACGAGTATTGCTGATCATACATTCCTCATGTTTTGATTTGTCGTTGGGTTTTTCCCTGTTTCTCTTTCTTCCTTGCCATGCAGCGGTGGCAGCAGTGGAGTGGTATGGCCATCGATACTTGCTTCCTGTGGCCAACTTCTGGGCAAACCACATTTCAAATGCAAGCCCGTTGATGCTTGTTGCTAGCTAACGATTTGTGTATTGAAATTTGCAATCTCTAGCTTGAAACTGCACTTTTAGCAAACGTTTTTATTTGTTCGTACGGTTTAGATGAAAAGAAACGAATTACACATGCCCTTAGCATGGCTACAACTGCGGAGGGTGAGCTGTAGTGAAGCCACTGTTCACTGTAAGATGAGCTTTGGCGTGGGCTGGCAAGCATTCTACAGCTGCGGCCAGGCGAGCTGTGATGGGCGGCAAACTCTTCTGAATTCTTGAACTCGCGACACAACTCGGGGTAGCTGTCGTGACACCCTCGCTAGAATGTAGGAAAATAGAGATGGTCGAAGAAAACCCTCACCACTTCCGAACCAGCACCGCATTTGGCGTCGCACGAACGATCTTCACCAGACCCCGCAAGTGTCTCTGCGACGCAGGCATGAGCGGGCGACTGTTTCGGTGATTCGCACGTTCAGTGCGTTTGTGTGTCTGGTGTGGTGCGGTGTGGTGGACAGTGAAAGTAACCGTTTTGCCGTGCCACCACCATCATGGCATTCAAGGCACCAAAGCGCACCATTCGCTCCATTGACATGGCTGCCACCAACCAGAACAGTGAACTGTACAAATACGTGTACACGAATTTGTACTGTAGTGTAGTGCAACCGCATATGGTTCGGTTCGGCGTCGTGTCGAGTCGAGGTGTGGTTCGAATCGAAGGATGTCCTTGTTTCGGTCAGGTCCGACAACAACCTGGGAAGTACACCCTCTTTCTCGCCATTGCGAATTCGGTTATCGTGAAGTCAAGACGGGAAAATCACGGTTTACGGTGGTAATATTACGTTTCGGTATGGTTCATGTAGGCAGATCGAAGATAACAAGGTTTGCCACCAGTTCGTCACAGTTCAGTGTAGCGAGAAACAAGGTGTAGCATCCATCCGCCCGTCCTTCCCTGTCGACTTTTCTGTTTTGGGCTGGACTTGTTCTTGGGGCAAGGATTCTTGCGTTGCTGAAGGCAAAGTTCTGCTAACGATGATTTTTTCGTGGTCAGCAGGATTTGCGAAGTACAATCGAGAGTGTTGCGAAATGTAACCAAGCTGGAACACAAATTAGAGAACTTGACATACCAAAGCACCTGAAACCATTTCCTAGGTCGCTAGAACTATTCCTGGTAGGACAGCAGACGTTTTTTTCCTGCATAGGGCGTGACTGACTCTTTATTTATTGCAGCGAAGCGCTTTCAGTGCGGCAAGCGTTCCTTTCGCTTTTTTGCAGGGATTGCACGGAGTGACTGTGGTTTGGATGATACTCGTCCATATTATGATATAACTTACGGAACGTGTTCGCAGCGCCTCGTAATCGTAGTGCTAGGATCCCTCCTTCAGTAAGCTTTACTGCTTAGCGAGTTGACATGCTATCCTGAGGTCCTCCGCATGGAGTAGCAGCAGCCGTCTCGGAACGGGAATGTAGGCGACCTTAACTGTAGTTCTTTATTTTTCTTTTTTTCTTTCTTCAAAGTTTGAAAGTCGAATGCTGGCCAATGGTACAATAGCAGCGCAGCCGCCGCGTCAAGTTATCATACGTGGAGAGAAATGGGTTGTCTCGTGTCGAAAATAGGTACGTACTCTGGTCCCCTATGTCGCTCTCAGACGCCCTCAATAACACATTAGCAGAATGTTAAAGATTGTCTAGGATCATCTGGTTTAGAATAGGATCTATGCAAAGCAGAAGATTTATGAAACTTCTCAGAAATAAGAATAAAGAAGACGTCTCAAAATTGTAAAGAAGACTGTCAAAAATTGTCAAGGATCGGCTGGTCAATAATGGGATCTATCTGAAGCAAACGTTTTTAATCGGAAGCTCGGGTTATGTCCGAACCAGATTGAGACAAGCTCTTCAGTCTCAGATAATCCAATGTCTCACCCGCGCACTAAGTATTGAGTCTAAGGCAGCACTAGCTGTGTCTTGGATATATATTTCTTTGAGACGGATGGGCGTCGCAGACTCGAATGCAAAGGTAACCTTAACGTCTCCCCTTCCCGTTCTCCTGCAATAATTTCGTTTTACTTTCCACCGTCTCTTTTCCATCAGACCACGGTGAAACGAGCACAACAAAAATTGATAGCGGGGCCAGCAAGCCGGGATCCAGCAGCCAGAATAATTCCTCTTTCCAAACCGGGACCTCTCAAATCTCCGACAAATTTGTGTCGGCCGACGACTCAAGCACGAACCTAAGTGTCAGCGACAGCGTCAGCGCCATTCCCAACCCTGCGAACCTCGTCCCGAGCTCCCTGCGACAGTTTTCGTTCGCCGCACTCGAGGCTGCGACGAGCAAGTTCCATCGGCGAAACTGCATTGGCGAAGGCGGGTTCGGAATTGTATATCGGGGGATTCTTCAACCGGGGCCGAATGGGCTTGGCGACCATGCGACGGAAGTGGCGATCAAGAGGATGCGCGAGGCGAGCGACCGGTACACGGAAGAGTTTCTGGTGCGTGCGTGCGAGCAAGAGTTCGTTTTAGGTATGAGAGGTGGGAGTGGGATCATGCCATCTTTCCAACTTCACTCTCCCACTCAACGCCAGTCCCCTCGATTCAGGAAGAGGGGATCGTGCTGAGGGTTGCTTTCCCGCCCGCCTATCGTGCGTCTGCACGATTGCTGCATGGACCCCTCGCATCCCCACCCACCCCCACCCAACACCCGTCGAAACTCCATGCAGAGAGAAGTGTTTGTCTTGGGCCGGTTGTCCCACCCGCACCTCGTGCGTCTGCACGGCTACTGCATGGAGCCCTCAGAACCCTAATCCACCAACCCACCACTCCCTCGCAACCCCTTTCAGAAAGAGGTGATTGTGCTGGGCCGGCTGTCGCACGTGCATAGCATATCGTGCGTCTGGACGGCTACTGCATGGAGGGCCCACCTCAACCCACCCCCCTTCCCAACTCCACCCGCCATTCCTTCTCGTGCAGAAAGAGGTGATCGTGCTGGGGCGGCTGTCTCACCCGCACCTCGTGCGTCTGCACGGCTACTGCATGGATCGCCTCCAACCCACCCATCTTTCAGAACTCCACTCCTCCAACCCTTCTGAACCCCTCTCAATCCCTCTCGTGCAGAAAGAGGTGATCGTGCTGGGACGGCTGTCCCACCCGCATCTCATGCGTCTGCACGGCTACTGCATGGAGCGTTTATTAACACACCCCGCCCCCCTGATCTTCCTTTGTCCCCTGCCGAAACACTGCAGAAAGAGGTGATAGTCCTTGGGCGGCTGTCCCACCCGCACCTCGTGCGTCTGCACGGCTACTGCATGGAGCGAGACGAGGCTCTGCTCGTGTACGAGTTCATGACGGGGGGCTGCCTGCACCGCGCGCTATCAGACAGTGAGTGGGGGAATACCTGGGAGGCAGGGTGCGTGAAACTAGTCTACTCGTGTAGGGTACACTCGGCTCTCTCCTCTCTCTCTGCTCGTGTACGAGTTCATGACGGGAGGCTGCCTGAACCGCGCGCTGTTGGACAGTGAGTGGGGCGCCAGGGGTGGATGGTTAACCACAGGTGAGTGGGGCGATAGTGAGTAGCTGCTTGCGTGGAGTAGGAATGACTCACCTCTTTCCTCTCTGTTCTCGTGTGCGAGTTTGTGACGGAGGTTGCTTGCAGCTCTCTGCTCTTTCCCTCCTCTCTGCGTTTTCTGCTCTCTCTACCTTCCCAGCTGCCCTCCCTGTCTGCCCTCTACACCCGTCTCCCTAAATTCCCGCCTTCCCATTCCTCAATTCAGGCTCATCCTCCGCCTCTCTGTGCCCATCTTCCTCTTCCCCACACACCAGGTGCGAGCGGAGAGCTCTTTTTCAGCTGGAACATGCGACTAAAGGTGGCGGTGCAGGTGGCAGAAGCACTCGCGTACATGCACGGACTCAACTTCATTCACCGGGACTTGAAGGCCGCCAATGTGCTGCTCACTCCGGTAAGGGCATGGGAGGGAGAGGGGAGGTGGGAAGGAGCAGCAGAGGCCCTCGCGTACATGCACGGACTCAACTTCATTCACCGGGACTTGAAGGCCGCCAATGTGCTGCTCACTCCGGTAAGGGCATGGGAGGGAGAGGGGAGGTGGGAAGGAGCAGCAGAGGCCCTCGCGTACATGCACGGACTCAACTTCATTCACCGGGACTTGAAGGCCGCCAATGTGCTGCTCACTCCGGTAAGGGCATGGGGGAAAGAGGCGAGGGAACAGGTAGCAGAAGCGCTCGCGTACATGCACGGACTCAACTTCATTCACCGGGACTTGAAGGCCGCCAATGTGCTGCTCACTCCGGTAAGGGCATGGGAGGGAGAGGGGAGGTGGGAAGGAGCAGCAGAGGCCCTCGCGTACATGCACGGACTCAACTTCATTCACCGGGACTTGAAGGCCGCCAATGTGCTGCTCACTCCGGTAAGGGCATGGGGGAAAGAGGCGAGGGAACAGGTAGCAGAAGCGCTCGCATACATGCACGGACTCAACTTCATTCACCGGGACTTGAAAGCCGCCAATGTGCTGCTCACTCCGGTAAGGGCATGGGAGGGAGAGGGGAGGTGGGAAGGAGCAGCAGAGGCCCTCGCGTACATGCACGGACTCAACTTCATTCACCGGGACTTGAAGGCCGCCAATGTGCTGCTCACTCCGGTAAGGGCATGGGGGAAAGAGGCGAGGGAACAGGTAGCAGAAGCGCTCGCATACATGCACGGACTCAACTTCATTCACCGGGACTTGAAAGCCGCCTATGTTCTGGTCACTCCCATGAGTGCGTGCGAGAGAGGGGAGGTAGCAGAGCAGGTAGGAGAAGAAGCAATGCATCAGCGCTACTCTCACCTGTGAGTGATGGGGAGAGAAGGTAGCAGAGTGAAGATACCAAAGGCAGTGATACAACAACCCTCCAGCTTGCCCTGCCCTCGCCATCCAATCTGTCCCCCCTTTCCCCCTCCGATTCTCCCCACTCATCCTTTCCCCACCAACGCCACATGAGTACGATGCGAAGCTGACAGACTTTGGCATGGTGCGAGTCATCACATGTACCTTCCCATCAATGACTGCCCCCTTCTCCCCATACTCAATGTTTCCAACACCCCCTCCACCCGACGCCACAGGACTATGATGCGAAGCTGACAGACTTTGGCATGGTGCGAGTGGGGCCGGAGGGACAGCTGGAGTCGATTGTTTCAACTCGCATCATGGGCACTGAGGGGTACATCGACCCTACTTACATGGAGACAGGTGTGTGTCTATAGAATGTGGGGGTGTGGGGGCGTGGGGGTGGTTCACAGGGCAAGTCCCGCGCAAGAGATGGTGCGAGTGGGGCCGGAGGGACAGCTGGAGTCGATCGTTTCAACTCGCATCATGGGCACTGAGGGATACATCGACCCTACTTACATGGAGAAAGGTGTGATTACAGTTGCATCATGCCCTACACAGGAGGGATGGGGGTGGGAGGGCACTTGGGGCGCTTAGAAATTATCAGCTGGAGTTGTTTGTGTCAACGCGCGTCATGGGCACTGAGGGGTACATGGACCGCACTTATATGGAGACAGGTACGTGGGGGTGATTTTGAAAAGCATACACCGAGTACGGTTGGGGTTATTAGGCAAGGGGAGTGGGAACAGATGAGCTGGAGTCGATCATTTCGACGCGCATCATGGGCACAGAGGGGTACATCGACCCCACTTACATGGAGACAGGTGTGTGTGTTTATAGGGGACTGTGACGGTGACTAGCATGCATACTCTCACATGGGGACTGAAACATCAACCCCACTTACATGGAAACAGGTAGGTTTACGGTGATGGAGGCATGTCAGGGAGTCTAGAGAAGACGTCAATAGTAGTGTAGACTCGCATCATGGGGACTGAGGGGTGCATCGACCCGACTTACGAGGAGACAGGTGGCCGAGGGTGCACAGTAGAGAGGGTGTGGTGTGGGGGTGCGGTATATTGAAATCACTTGTGATAATTCTCAAAGGTGGTTTCAATATAGCAGGTGATCGAGGGTGCACAATACAGAGGGTGTGGTGTGGGGGTGGGGGTGGGGGTGGGGGTGGGTGTGGGGTAGTTGCAGGGCACGATGGGGGGAATCGTATCTTGTTCACGAAGGGGTACAACATGGACCCTAAATCCCGAACCTATATACGAGGCAACAGGTTGAGGCAGGAATCTGAGGGATTCGAGGGTGGAAGTCAGTCTGTGAAGGCACCGAGGGGTACATAAATCTACATACAAAAACTCTCTCCTCCCTGCCCCTCCCAGCCCCTCAACACTTCTCACCACCCCTCACCACCCCTCACCACCCCTCCCCCCTCCTGCCCCGCTCAACACAGGGCATCTGGGTGCCAAGAGCGATGTCTATTCCTTCGGTGTTATGCTCTTGGAGCTGGTAACCGGCAGGAGAGTGGTGGACGAGGGGAGCAAGATGGTCACCGAGTGTCGAACTCGCCTCTCGGATCTCTCACTTAAAGCCGCAGAATATGTCGATCCGCGGCTTGATAACCAGTACCCGGAGCTGGGCGCCCGAACCTTGGCGACTCTGGCTCGGCACTGCGTGGCTGAGGCTCGGTCGACCCGGCCGGACATTGGCAATGTACTGGAAAAGCTTAAGTTATTGGTTAAGGCGTGTGCAAATGCTGAAGCGAAAGCGGCGGCGTTGGAGGCAGGGGAATCAGGGTCGGCTGAAAGGGGGGATATGGAGGTGAATGGGGGTGACGAAGGGTCGTCAGCAGATGTCGCACCAGTACAGATTCTTAGTTGATTTAGTTGCGGACAGCGTAGGCTCTCCTCTTGTAAGATAGTCGCGAAGAGGAACACTTCAAGATGTAAGCGGAATACCGTACAAGTAGGAAGTGTTACAGGATTTGCGTGATCATGCTGTTTAGTATGCACAAATACCCAGCTTTATTCCTCGGCCTCACGCAAGGTCTTTTGTGTTTGTGACATAATTTTGAAATCTGGAATACCGTAGTTTTTGGATTGTAACCGTGGAACAATTGATGAAAAAAAGTGTGGGATCCTTTCTCAATCTTCGGACAAGTGACCAGTAGCAATCGAGAATGGAAATGAAGAAAAAGCTGGAAACATCACAGCAGTGTTCCACAAGCGAGGATGTGAAGCCGGCTTCTGAAGGTGGAACTAGTGTCAGTCACTTCTGCTACAAGGCAGGGTGCGCACAAGTGATTGTCTCTTTCACTTTCACTCGCACAACCAGCGAACCCAGCTGCCTGTTTTGTGCCAACAAGCGAAAGCAGCTTTCGTTAGATTGTTTTGAGCTTTTGTTCTGATAAGGTAGCAGCCTGCTTCTTGTTGTTACGTCGTCACGCCTCACTGATACTGGAAGTATTTGCAGCATTGCAGTAAACTCTGTCAAGGCCGCATCGTTGGATTCAGTCGTCCATAGCAAAGCACACAGAACGCATTCGTAGCCGCTCGTAATCGAACCGTGCTAGGCTCCCTACCACTCCTGATGTTCAGCCTTACTGCTTAGCGGAGTGAACATAACCGCATGATGTGCGACGCCATGCGTGGAGTAGCAACAGGCGTTGGAAAGGAAATGCAGCTGACAGACGTCACGTGTGAAAATCCTGAACCACGGTAGTTAACGTTCATTGTGTTCTTCCCTTCGTGGTCTGAAAGCCGAATTCTGGTTCAACAGCGCCGCCGTGTCAAATTCTTTTACGTGGAGAAGGATGGGTTGTTTCATGTCGAAAATAGGTGCGTACGCCGGCCCCTTACGTCGCGCGCACACACTCTGAATAACGTGACAGCAGAATGGTAAATACATTGGTTGTACGCTCTACTGAAACTAGACCCGAGGCAAGAGAAGAAGTTAAAAGTCAAGTAAATGTCACGTCTCACCTTCCCATTTCCCTTCCTCTGCAAAAACTTCGAATTCCATTTCCACCATTTCTTTTCCGGCAGACCACCGTGAAACAAGCACACCAGTCATCCCCAAGGATAGCGCCGCCAGCAAGGTCATCCCCAGCAGCCAGAGTCTTTCCTCACTCACAACGTCTGCCTCTCAAACAACTGTTAAAATTGTTTCAGTCGACGGTTCAACCCCGAATGCTGGTGCCAGTCCCATAGTCATTAATGTGTTTGTGAACGGTTCAACCCCTAATACTGCCAGTGACACCAATAATAATATTTTAGTCGATGGTTCGACTGGGATTCTTAGTGCCATTGACACCGATAACAGTGTTTTGGTTGACGGTTCGACCGCAAACCCTTGTGCTAGTGACGCCGATAAGGTAGTTTCAGTCGACAGTTCAACCCCGAATCCTAGAGCCAGTGATGCCGACAACGTAGTTTTACTTGACGGTTCAGCCCGGAATCCTACTAGTGTCAGTGACGCCAATAACAGCGTTTCAGTCGACGGTTCAACGGCGAATCCTAGTGCTAGTGACGCCGAGCAGGTAGTTTTAGTCGACGACCCAACCCCGAACCTTAGTGCCAGTGATGGCGAAAACAGAATTACGGTCGACGGTTCAACCGCGAATCCTACTAGCGCCAGCGACACTGCCAGCGACACTGCCAGCGACAATCCCCACCCTGACCTCATCCCGAGCTCCCTGCGACGGTTTCCGTTCGCCGAACTCCAGGCTGCGACGAACAGCTTCCATCCGCAAAACGAGATTGGCAGAGGCGGGTTTGGGGTCGTGTATAAAGGGGTGATCCCGCCAGGGCCGAATGGGCTTGGCCCTGAGCCGACGGAGGTGGCGATAAAGAGGATGCGCGAGGCGAACGAAGGATACGAGGAAGCGTTTAAGGTGCGTGCGTGCGTGCGTGCGTGCGTGGCTGGGTGGATGGGAGAACAATGGGGGTTATGTTACTACGGCTCGTGCGTGCATGAGGACAGGGCATGACCTGATGCCAAACTCTTTCTTACGAACATCTCCTTTTCACAGAACGCCAATAAATGCAGGAGATTTGCCTGGAGAGCTTTTCCTCCGCACCCTTGTGTTTTTTTAGAGTTCTAAAAGAAAACGAGTTTCCAAAAAAACAGATTCAGCCTTAAATGCAGAACAATTGCTGGAGAGCTCGTCCTCTGCTCTGCACCCTTGTGTGCCTGCACTGTTACTGCCTGGTTATTCTTGCCACACACACACAAACCACACAGCGCCACCCACACGCACCCCTTGTGCAACCCTTTTGCGCCTGCACTGCTTCTGCATGGGAGATTTTGCACGAATATACCACGCTCCTTTGATCCTCCTTTTCCCCCCTTCACTGCAAACAGAGATGATCGTTCTTGCCCAGCTGTCCCACCCGCTGCTCGTGCGTCTGCACGGAACGTCTACGTCACATCACCATCGTTTCCCGCACCACCCTGCTCTCGCCATACCCGCGTGTGCCTTGCAGAAAGAGGCGATCGTGCTGGGCCGACTGTCCCACCCGCACCTCGTGCGTCTGCACGGCTACTGCATGGATCGCCCAACCCAACCCATCCGTCTTCTCAACTCCACTCTTCCAACCCTTCTCAACCCCTCTTGCGCAGAGAGAGGTGATCGTGCTGGGCCGGCTGTCCCACCCGCACCTCGTGCGTCTGCACGGCTACTGCATGGAGCGAGACGAGGCTCTGCTCGTGTACGAGTTCATGACGGGGGGCAGCCTGGACAAGGCGCTATTAGACAGTGAGTCGGGTGCGATGGGTGGTACACCACCAGTTCCGCGTGCACGCTGTTCTCTCCTCACACTGCTCTCTTCATGATTGAAGAAGTGTTTTGAGACGTCTCAAAACACTTCTTCAATCACGTGGAGGAGTCCATGACGTTTGAGAGTTCTCAAAAGTGACTCCTCCCGTTGAAATCAATTTTAAGAATTCTCATTTTTTAGAATTGAAATCACGTTTGAGAATTCTCAAAAGTGACTCTCCTCCCGTTGCTCGCTCGTGTACGAGACGAGGGGTGGCATAAGCGAAGCCTTGATGGGCAATGAATGTGTGTGTGTGTGTGTGTGTGTGTGTGTGTGTGTGTGTGTGTGTGTGTGTGTGTGTGTGTGTGTGTGTGTCTGTGTGTGTGTGTGTGTTTGTGTGTGTGTGTGTGTGTGTGTGTGTGTGTGCGCGTGTGTGTGTGTGTGTGTGTGCGTGCGTGCGTGCGTGCGTGCGTGCGTGCGTGCGTGCGTGCGTGTGTGTGTGTGTGTGTGTGTGTGTGTGTGTGTGTGTGTGTGTGTGTGTGTGTGTGTGTGTGTGTGTGTGTGTGTTGTGTGTGGTTAACCACAGGTGCCACGGGGCAAGCTGACGGTGCAGCTGGCAGAGGCGATGGCGTAGATGCTGCTGCTCCCCAGTGCCCTACTCACTCTCTCTCACCACTGGCCATTCCCCAGGGCCCTACTCACTCTCTCTCCTCTCCTCCCTCCCCCCTTTCCTCTCCCAGGTGCGAGCGGAGAGCTCGTCTTCAGCTGGAGCACGCGACTCAAGGTGGCGGTGCAGGTGGCAGACGCACTAGCGTTTTTGCACGGACGGAACTTGATCCACCGCGATATTAAAGCTGCCAATGTGCTGCTGTCGCCTGTGAGTCGCTGGGTGCTGTGCTGGGGCGGCTGGGTGCTGTGCTGGGGCGGGTGGGTGCTTGTTGCGAGTGGGGGGAGAAGGTGGTGGCCGTGCAGGTGGCAGAGGCGCTGTGTATTTGCACGGAGCCAACTTCATTTACCGCGACCTCAAAGCCACCAATGTGCTGCTGTCGCCTGTGAGTGGGTGGGTGCTGTGCAGGTGGCAGTGCAGGTGGCAGAGGCACTGGCGTGTTTGCACGGAGTCAATTTATCCACCGCAATATGAAAGGCGACAATGTGCTGGTGTCTCTTCCGGTAAGGGCAGCGGAGACAGCGTGAGATGCTGCGGTGACTCCGGATGGTGCGAGTCACATGCGTCTTCTGGGTTGACCTTTCAGTTCACTCGACAGTCAGAACAATGGCATGACTCTGCCCCCTCGCACCGAATGTTCCATGTGTGTTTCGAGTCGACTGAATCACACGTGCCCCCTCCCTCCAGGTTTCCCACTCGTCCTTACCCTCCCCACTCCACAGGAATGTGATGCAAAGCTGAAAGATTTCGGGAGGGTGTGAGGGATTACAAAAGCTCTCCCAACAATTGCTGCCTTTCAGCCCCGCCTTCCATATCCCCCCACTCTACCTTTCGCCAACGCTACAGGAGTATAACGCGAAGCTGATAGACTTTGGCATGGTGCGAGGCTTCACATGTAGCTTCCAGTTAATGACTGCCCCCTTTTCCCCGCTACTCCCAATATCCCCAACTCCGTCCCCTCCCCCCAACGCCACAGGAGTATAACGCGAAGCTGACGGACTTTGGCATGGTGCGAGGGGGGCCGGAGGGACAGCTGCAATCCATTGTTCATACCGTGAGGTGGTGTGAATCGTCCCTCATAGCTGCCCCCACCAGTGGCTGCCCTTGCCCTCTTCCCTTGCTCGCCACAGGACTACGATGCGAAGCTGACAGACTTTGGCATGGTGCGAGGGGGGCCGGAGGGACAGCTAGGTTTCAATTTTGGCATTGACTGACCCTTACCCCCATCCCTCCGAAACCCCCACTCGTTCCTTTCCTCTCCACGCCACAGGAGTATGACGCGAAGGTGACGGACTTTGGCATGGTGCGAGGGGGGCCGGAGGGACAGTTGCAATCCATCGTGGCGACCCGCATCATGGGCACGCGGGGGTACTCCGACCCCTCATACATGGAGACAGGTGTGTGTCAAGGGGGGGTGTTGAATAGCATACAGACGATACAGGCCAAGCGAGGGGGGCCTTACAGACGATACTGCCAACTCGCATTATGGGCACGCGGGGGTACTCCGACCCCTCATACATGGAGACAGGTGTGTGTCAAGGGGGGGTGTTGAATAGCATACAGACGATACAGGCCAAGCGAGGGGGGCCTTACAGACGATACTGCCAACTCGCATTATGGGCACGCGGGGGTACTCCGACCCCTCATACATGGAGACAGGTGTGTGTCAAGGGGGGGTGTTGAATAGCATACAGACGATACAGGCCAAGCGAGGGGGGCCTTACAGACGATACTGCCAACTCGCATTATGGGCACGCGGGGGTACTCCGACCCCTCATACATGGAGACAGGTGTGTGTCAAGGGGGGGTGTTGAATAGCATACAGACGATACAGGCCAAGCGAGGGGGGCCTTACAGACGATACTGCCAACTCGCATTATGGGCACGCGGGGGTACTCCGACCCCTCATACATGGAGACAGGTGTGTGTTTAAGAGACGCTTGCATACCAGAATTGGCATGCATACTTGCATCATGGGCAACCCAGGGTAAGTGGGCACTCCAGGGTAAATGGACCCCTCATACATGGAGACAGGTGTGTGTGTGTGTAGGACTCTAGGGGACTATGACTAGCATTCATACTCACATTGAAAGCTCAGGGGTACATTGACCATCATTCATGGAGAAAGGTGTGTGTATAGGGGGGGCAGGTTCTCTAAGGTTTCCAGGGAAGAGGTTGATAGTGTGGACTTGCAGTAAGAATACTGAGGGAGCATTACCCCTACTTCGAACATGGAGTCAGGCACTTCTAGAGTTGCAGAGACAGGTTTTCTAGGGTTTCTAGGGTTTCTGGGGGAGGCGTTGATAGTGTGTACTTGCATTGCATGAAGGGCGCCAATGGATGCAGTAACCCTCTGTACCTGGAATCTCTCCCATCTCCCGCCCCGTTCCAATCATCACAGCTCAACACGAGCAGCATAGGTTGCTCATTTGAAAAAAGCAAATGGTCAGTAACTGTGCTCTTCCATCTTTTCAACTCACCTTCCCGCCCCTCCCTGCCCCTCCCCGCCCCTCCCCGCCCCTCCCCGCCCCTCCCCGCCCCTCCCCGCCCCTCCCCGCCCCGCCCCACCCACCACAGGACACCTGGGTCCCAAGAGTGACATCTACTCCTTTGGCGTGCTCCTGTTCGAGCTGGTGACCGGCAGAAGAGTGGCGCAGGAGGAAGAGAGGGTTGTTGACGAGTGCAAGACACGTTTCGCGCGCGGCAACCCAAGTGCTGCAGGGTATATCGATCCTCGCCTTGGTAACCCGCGCCCCGTGCAAAGCGCTCTACGCTTGGCCATTCTGGCCCGCTTCTGTGTGATGGAGAATCGGTCAAACCGGCCAGACATTGGGGAGATAAGGAGGTTTCTGAGGGAGATTGTGGAGGCGCATGAGAATGATGTTGCAAATGCGGCAGCTACAGGGTGAATTGTTTTGAGACTTGTCGAAACAAATGTAGCTTTGAGCGAGACGTCTTAAAAGCAGTCGAACCTGCCGGACATTGGGGAAGTACAGGGGTTCCTTAAGGCAATGGTAGAGGTGTGTGCGAATGATGCAGCGAATGCAGCTGGAGCAAAGACCAGACCAGAGAGTGCTTAGGGCTGTGCGAAAGCAGAGGAAGGCAGGGCGGAGGTGGGCAGAGCAGAGGCGGGCAGGGCGGAAGGGAGTAGGGAGGGCGCAGATGCTACAGCTGTTGCCCAAAGGAGACAATGTGACTGATGAAGTGGAGGCGGCAGCTACAAGGTGACTTTCAAGTCGACTCAAAAGTCACCCAGCTCTGTACCATGTTAGAATAGTAGCCTAAGTAGACTAGGGTTTTGGGGTAAGAGAGTAGCGAGAGAAACGGAAGAAGAGGGCTTACACTAATGAGCAAGATACATGATATAGTTCAAGGGAAGGTGAGCACAGTGGTGCACCACCAAATAGTTAAGAACAATAACTGCAGTAACTACAGCACGCAGGATATATATTAAACATAACTTTGACACACCCCCTTAGCCTGCGTGCAGTAGAAACTGGTGCAGCCAGCACCCCCTGAACGAGCAAACCAAGCGCTGTGGAAGAAGGCAGAGAAGTGAGGAAGGTGAGAGGAGAGGAGAGAAGAGGAGAGGAGAGGAGAGAAGAGGAGAGGAGAGGAGAGAAGAGAGGAGAGGGGGGCCAGGACCGGCGGACCCGCTTACGAACCTCCTTTTACAAAGGGGAGGTGAGAGAGGGAAGGGAGAGGAGGTGGGCTAGGCGGGCTTGAGCGCGAAAGCTCATAGCGATCCCCCCCCGTTAAGAACCCCCAAGTCCCGATGAGGAGAGGAGGTGGGCTAGGCGGGCATGAGCGCGCACGCTCAATGCGATCCCCCCCCGTTAAGAACCCCCTAGACCTCACCCCCCTCGTCACTCAACCCCTTGAACCTCACACCTTCCGCACCTGTCTTCTCCCGCCACCCCCTCACCCTTCTGCACTTCTCTCCCCCCCCCCCCTACAGCAACAGTTGCTGCAGGGAGAGAGGAAGAGGGAAGGGAGGGAGGAGTGGCAGGCTCCTCACACCCGCCCCCCCCCCCACAACCCCTTCCCCCTCCCTCCCCCCTCCCCACGACGGAAGCCGCGGAAGGGAGGGCGGGGGGGGGGGGGGCGGCGGTAGCTGCTGCTGGCGCTGGCGGCTGGCCGCGGCGCTGGCCTCCGCGCTGGCGGATTGCGGGGTGACGGGGGCGACGAAACGGGGGCCGCGTGGCGACGAAATGGGGGCCGCGTGGCGACGAAACGGGGGGGCAGCGGGCGACGGGCAGGGCGTCCGCGGGGCAGCCGACGGGGCGTCCGCGAGGCAGCCGACGTGGCACGTTCGGGGGGACGGGCAGGGCGCGCACGACGGGCGAACGGGGAGAAAAAATAGCGCATTTCGCGCTGTAGTACGGGCGGGCCCATGATTCTTAAAAAAAAGAGAAGGTTCCGGGAAAGAACCAGCTCTATACCATGTTAGAATAGTAGCCTAAGTAGACTAGGGTTTTGGGGTAAGAGAGTAGCGAGAGAAACGGAAGAAGAAGGGTTACACTAATGAGCAAGATACATGATATAGTGTTGAGATAGCTAGGCAAGGTGAAGTTGACTATCGAGAGAAATTTTACAAGTAGGAAAACCCTAAGGGGTTATCCCCTATAACATCTACCCCACTACAGCCTACCAATATGTATCACACATATATATCATTTGACACACCCCCATAGGCAAAGTGGGGGAGAGCAACGGGTCACAAGACCAGTCAAGAGAAACAAAACAAGCTCAGGGTGGATCACAACGTCACCACACATTCTGAGCACAAGCAAATGGCCACAAGGCCAGTTCACATGCAGAGATATATATGCAGCAATGACAGTACAGTGTCGAGCTACCTAGCAAGAGCCAGCATGCAGGTATATATGTATATAGATCACAGTACAAGCAAAGACTACAGCAAGTGTGGAAGCATAGGCACAAGGCCTAACAGAGTACAAAAGCGCTGATGATCACCAGACGGAAGTGCCTTGGTGAATATATCAGCAGTGTTGGCCCGAGTGGCCACGTAACGAAGACAAAGCTGGCCTCGCTGCTGCAACTCTCGAGCCAGGAAGTAACGCAGAGCAATGTGCTTCGTTCTGTGCTCCAGTCTGTGCTCCTCACACAAGGCAATGGCGGCCTTGTTGTCAACGTACAGCACTGGAGGAGAACGAGGCTGCTCTCCCAAGTCAGTCAGCAGGTAGGTGAGCCAGCGTAACTCCTGTGCAGCCATGGCGGTGGCGTAGATCTCAGCCTCACAACTGGAGCCAAGAACTGAAGACGAGCGTGTAGAACGCCACGAAACTGAACCAAAGCCAAGGCTGAAGGTGTAACCCTGTGACGACCGCTGAGTAGCCAGGTCGTCAACCCAAGAAGCGTCTGAGTGCCCAGTGAGGACAACTGGGCTCGTCCCTCCAAGCACTAGCCCCATGCCTGATGTGCTGCACAAGTAGCGCAGTACCCTCTTAGCAGCAGCCATGTGCTCAGGTCGGTGTCGACCAGGAGCCACGTAGCGAGCGAGGAGACCAAGAGGGTACGCGAGGTCAGGTCGAGTGCAAGTCATCAGGTACATGAGGCAGCCGACTAGCTCTGGGTAAGGACCACTCGGCTCTACGGACTCGTCCGAAGGTGGAGCTGAGAGCGTGTGACCTGTAGCCAGAGGAGTGGCCTGTGCTGAAGACCAGGTGAAGCCGAAGCGCTGAAGGACCTGCTGCACCATGTGTGACTGAGTCAAGGTGATGGTGCGGCGTGCTCTGTCCCGGGTGATCTGCAAGCCAAGGTAGCTGCGCAGCTCACCCAAGTCAGTGCACGTGTGTCTCTTCTGTAGCTCCGACTTCACGTGGGCGAGAGCCTCAGTGTCAGCAGTGGCAAAAACCAAGTCGTCGACGTACACGAGGATGTAGAACGGCGGCAGTGAAGTGTCTGTGCGCAGAAACAGCGACGGGTCAGCAGTAGAAGGCGCAAACCCAAGAGCCGCAAGTGTCGTCCTCAGTGTGTCGTGCCACTCACGTGGCGCCTGGCGGAGACCGTAGACCGGCCGTCGGAGGCTCCACTGGGTGCCAGGAGGGAACGACCCAGTGAAGCCCGGGGGGCGGCGCAGCCAGATCTCCTCGTGCAGGCTGCCCTGTAAGAAAGCAGTGCTGAAGTCAAGAGAGTGAAGCTCGTAGTCACGGTGAGCAGCAACGTGCAGCAGCACCCGAAGAGTGGTCATCTTCGGGGTGGGGGAGAAGGTCTGGAAGAAGTCAACTCCCTCTCGCTGACTGAAGCCTCGAGCCACGTAACGCGCCTTGAAGACAGGCGGAGAACCCGGCGGCTGCTTCACCCTGAAAATCCACATGCCACTGACGATGTTCGCCCCAGGTGGGGGAACCTCGTCGACATAGGTGCCTGTGGACTTCCAGGAAGCCATCTCTGCGTCCATGGCTGCCTGCCACTGAGAGGAGTAGGGACTCTCTATCGCCTCTGCGTAAGAGCGCGGAGTCGGGATGTCTGGTGCATCCGGGTCTCCCTCAGGGGCAAGTAGCGAGGACACAAGATGAGGTAAAGCAGCAGCAAGACACTGGAACTCCTCCTGCCTGTCCTCAAGGACGTCCGTGCTAAGAGCACACTCACCCCCGACGGACGGAGGACAGACAGACGCAGACTCAGTAACAAGACCGGCGGCGTAGTCTAGACGACAGGCAGCAGCAAAGTCAACAAGCTCAGCGACAAGAGCAGACGCAGCAGTAGACTCAAACGACGGGTCAGTGACAACAGTGGCTAGCAGACGCGTGACAGTAGGGTGCTCAGCACGAAACCGGTCAGACTCAGGGTCTGGAACGTCAGGTAGAGAGGACGCAGGGGGAGACGGAAGAGGAACAGGCTGCAGAGCAGAGGAAGGACGACGAACTACGAGGTGTGTGCTGGGGACAGCCGGCTGGCGCGAACGAGGAACACGACGACCGGGACGAGCAGGCGAGACAGGACGCGACACAGGCTCACGACGCTCAGCAAGACTACCAGTCTGCTCAGTGTAAGGAGAAGGAGCAGGCAGCGGTGAGCCAGGCTGTAACGGAAGACCAGTAGACGACGGGAGAGTAAGAACCTGACGAAGAACAGAGTCAGACGGCGGCAGAGACGACGGAGACGGCGGAGCGAAGAACAGTCGTGTCGGCGCAGCTGCATCAGTACCGGCAGCTCCAGCAGCTCCAGTACCCCCAGCAGCTCCAGTACCTCCAGCAGCTCCAGAACCTCCAGCAGCTCCAGAAGCTCCAGTCCCAGAGTCGTCACCTCCAGTCCCAGTGTCTCCAGCCCCTGTGTCTCCAGCAGTAGCACCCCCAGAACCAGCACCCCCAGTCCCAGGGTCTCCAGCCTCAGTGTCACCAGCAGCAGCACCCCCAGAGCCAGCACCTCCAGTCCCAGGGTCTCCAGCCTCAGTGTCTCCAGTACGAGTACCTCCAGAACCAGCGACTCCAGCACCTCCAGTAGACAAAGGTCCAGCACCACTCCTAGCTCCAGCAGCGCGACGCTGACGGTGACCGTACCAGTCCTGCAGCTGCTGTGGGGTGAGAGGCACACGTGGACGAAGGCGGCTACTCCAAGGAGACCGCGCAACAGCAGACTCAGAACCCTCAGCGCCAGCACCCCCAGCTGCTCCAGAACCTCCAGCGCCAGCACCCCCAGGCTCCTCACGCGTAGGCTCAGTACCCGCAGACTCGGCACCCGCAAGCTCAGCACCTCCAGGCTCCTCACGCGCAGGCACAGCACCCTCAGACTCGACACCCCCAAGCTCAGCACCGCCAGGCTCCTCACGCGCAGGCACGGCATCCCCAGACTCCGCACCCCCAGGCTCAGCACCTCTAGGCGCCTCTCGCTCAGGCTCCGCACCCCCAGGCTCAGCACCCCCAGAGACAGCACCCCGAGCAGG